CCTATCTAGGGGTGAGCATTGTTATTGAATTAACCAAACATTATTATTTATAACATATAATTCTATATTAATGCTGAGTTTGGAAAGAATACAAATGCAAATATGTACTATGCAAATGCATACAAAATAATGCAAAATATAAGGTTTTGCACTCTATATATTTGCACTTGTACTCCTTCCAAACTGAGCCTAAAGAAATTGTTTTAATCAAAGACCAAATTGAAAATTTTAGTTTTGGTTATTTTGGTTTTTCATTAGTCCAGCTTATTTGGTTTGGTTTTTAACCGAATAAGCCCATTGCTCACCCCTAAACCCAACGTTGACTTGGCCAGTTAGACCATTCGAACTATCACTGACCATAATTTTGGGTTCGATTCTCCTAAAACCTTGACTTTGGTAAAAAAATGTTGACTTGGTAAAAAACTATCCAAGTCGGGCAATTAGACCATTTACTTGTTCGACCTAGTGACTAGGTCACAAGTTGCACACTAAATGTGTATGAAAACTTCCAAATGCCATAATTTGCGTAAATGTTTGAAGGAACCTTGCCCTGCTATTTTCACAAAAACTTAAATTTGTGACTTCCTCTTCTTTTTCTTTTGGTATCACCATCGTTGATGTCATCATCCTTGGTGAGTTTAACTGGGGTTGAGTTAGCCCATACCACCTTAAACTCTAGTTAAGTTTAACTTGGGTTGAGTTAGGCCATACCACCTTAAAAAATAGTTGGTGAGTTTAAGTTAGGGTTAGGATTGAAGAATATGAACTTAACTTTGGGTTGGTTAGGGTTAAGGTGTTAGGCAACCTAGCCTAACCCAAATTGAGTATGTCTTCATGGTTGTATGTAATCATATAAACATTTATATATATACATGCATCTATATGCACATGGATGCATTATCTATATCTGGATCAACAAATTAAAAGTAACCATTTGTTTGGTTAGAAGAAAAAAATATGGAAAGGTGGGTTCCCTTTCCTTCCCCTACATTTTTTCTTTCAAACGAAGCACAACCCAAATGAACACCTTTGGATAGGAATATGAGGTGAAGTTTTCTCATAGTTTTTATATGGGGATATTAGGTTGAGTTGTATCTTTCTTTATATTAAGGGAATAGGGAAGAATACTTATCATTGCTACTGTAGTAAATGCTGCCATCACAAGTAAAGTGCAAACACCTTACTACACCTTTTCATCCTCTTGTGTTTTGCAAACTTGCTACGCCTTGCTCGCTTATTAGTGGGGGGTAAACTGATCAACCGGTAAATTGACCAATATCCCCATGCTCATTTGTTGCTATTTTGGAACCTATAGTAACCAAAGATACCAAAGAGTATCAGTTAAGTACTGATACCCTCCAAAAAGGTGGGTAAGTAACTTACCCATGAACCAATAATGCTCTCTCCTTCCCCCTCTCTCTTGGGTAACTTGTATCGCACAAGAACGCTGGAACCTGGGAAAGTGTTCTTAGGTAAAACTTGTCCGGGTAAACGTACTTACCCAGGTAAGTAAAAATGAACGGGGCCTTAGAGTCATTGAGATGCCAATTATCTCTACTCATGTTGCTGACACTTTCCTTCCCCTCCCTTCACTATCTTACCAGAGATGGTAATTTGGCCCATTCTCATTGGGGCTCTAACTCATAATTAGGGTGGGTTTTTGCCCGCTAATTGGGTTTGGGGCAGGTTTTAGACAACCCCAAAAACTTTGGTGAGTAGGGATATGTTTACAAGTAGGAATTGTCGGAGTGGGGCAAGACAAATTCGGGGTCCCTATTCCACATGGGGACAAAGATGGGATTGTGATATCTAGTCTTGTTGGTATATGGGGATGGAGACGAGGTGGGATGTTTGAGTTCGGGGTTGGGGATGGGGTATGTAAAACCCGATCTTTCCATGCCTCTTGCCATTCCTATATCTTACACTTCCTTCTCAATCTCAATTTCAAACTCCTTTGTTTTGTTTCTCAACCACCTTACTATTATTACTTAATATTTAATTTATTTTCATTTGTTTGAATTGTGACATACGAATGGTTTGAATAGGCTATTAATTTAACCATCTAAGTCAATAGGTTTGCAATAAAGTCAACGATACTTTGCATATCACCCAACTTGGGGCAAAACAAACTAGAAATCCTAACTAGGTGATGGATTGAACATTCTAACTAATTGTTAAAAAATTGCACATCCTATGGTTCCATCTCTAGGGGTGATCGTTTCATTCCGGCCTACACAAAGCCCAACCTAGCAAATTTCAATTTCAAGCTTGGGCCTAATACTTCAAGCCTGACCTAACACACATATATTTAAATATATGTATCATGTATATATGTTAATCTATGTAATGTTATATATTTTATATATAAATATTATAGTACGACATACGACACTTATAATAGGTAGGAAAAAATTCTTAAACTACCCATAAGGTTTAGGAAATTGACTAATTATACCTTTGCTATTTAAGTATTGTCTTAAAGTACCCCTATTGTTTTTGACAATTGTCGCATAGCTCCCTTCTTGTTAAGTCTCCGTTAATGATTGTTTATACGTGACTTCACCCTTTTAGCAAAGATCATTGTATTCTCCACTCAAACCAGCACTGCTAACCTTCCATCGTCCTCCTCTTAGACCTCTCTTCTCTAGTTTTCACTCCCAAACTGATGTGCACAACAACCTATGAAAGGGGGTTGAGACAATCAACTGAACTCGCTGCTGCAACATCTCATGGGTAGCTCGAAGGGGTTTTTGGCGTGGTGTGGCTGTGAAGGGGTTGTCACCGGTGATACCAATGATCAAACCTTCTTGCGCCCTTGTATTGTGAAGGGGTCTTCGGTGTGAGTGGATTGCAACAACAGATCTGGATCCAGAGGAGGTGTGGTTTTTGGATGACAAGGAATAAGATCACCTACAAGGGGTTTTGAGAATCGTCGTTTGTATTGCCTCTACGGGGGAACCGCCGTTGCTCAGCAAGCTATGTTCATTTGCCCGTGGTTCGAAATGTTCATCTCTCGCTATGTTCCTCTATAGTTCCAGTGGCTTTCCTATGGCATCAGGGAAGGTAATGAGAAGAAGAGGGACCTCGCTTTGGTTGCCTCAGTTGTCGACTTCGACATGGCCACAACCACATCTACTACCCGAGCCTCTAGTTTCGTGGAAGGAGTAGTTTACTTGATTTTAAAAAAAAATAGAGATGGAAAAACTCCATTGGCGTAATGGGAAAAGCTATGAAGCAAAAAAAAAAAAAAGGTCAGTCCTTCAAGTTGCAATACCTTCACCAGGTTGTCTCTCAGGGATGTTAGTGTTTCCATCGTTGCAGTCATGACGGTAGCTGCAAGGAACCCATATTTGAAATATGAGAGATACTCAAATATGCGGTTACTCAATGCACATAGCCGGTGGTAGTTGCAACAACGATTCCGTCAGTTGATGTTTAACACCAGATTGGGCATATTCAATGGCCAGTCCATCGGTAGATTCTTGAGTGAAAATCTTTTTTCCTTCAAGTCCTCGATCTCATTGGAAACAAGCTCACTGGAAAGATTTCTTATGATCTACCTTTCTGTCGTTGCCATTATCAGTCACAACAGAAGCATGTAGGCTTAGAGTGAGTCATTTCTTAAGGTTTCCTTTCTCTTCGAGTTTTGGTTGTTCTTTCTTGTTGTTGTGATTTCCTAAGGTTTTCTTTCTCTTCGAGTTTCGATTGTCTTCTTTATTGTTGTTGTGATTTTCCATATGATCTGATTTGGTTTTGTGTTTTCTTGGTCTGACTTTGCATTGATAGACGTTTACCTTGAGTGATGATTTTACTCAATTGGATGACTATCACCCAGTCTGAAGGTGGCTACCATCGTCTCTCTGGCAACCAAGCGAGAGAGTCGAAGGAATACATATTCTAAGAAGATGACACTGAAAGGAAACGAAACAAAGCTAAGACACACTCCCTTTATGCCTTTCAACCGTCTTTTCCAAATCCAGTGATTGCAAATAATCTCTAATGTGTCCTTTTTCTAGCTTATTTACCTTGAAGCGTAAGCAGGTCTAGCATTGGACTCCTAAGTCCTGATTTGACAGTAAGGCTGAGAAAGCCAATGTTGTAGAGAAGAAACTTCCTAAGAAGAATGATGGGAAAAATAGTCTTTTTAATCATTCTATTAACAGACACTGACGATAAGAAAGATTTAGTCAATTGTTAGAAAAACAAGGGTACTTTAAGACAATACTGAAAACAATAAGAGTATAATTAGTCAATTTCCTAAACCTTAAGGATAGTTTAAGAAAATATATAATATTATATATTTAATAATGCATTAAATAATTGTATATTTTGATGCCATTCAATATAAAATATTATATAATTGTAATACATTATAGATAAAAGATATTGGATCAGAATCAAGTCCAGCCCAGCCTAGGTTATAGCCCTTATCATAGTGTTAAGCCCGGCTCGGGCTGGCCTGGCCTGGCCCGACCCATGATCATCCCCACCCCTCTCCCAAACACATTTCTTGACTCTTGCCTCCCTTCCTAGTTACCTCACCTCCCTTTTATTTGTGACGGCTGAACTGTTGTCATGCTTGGTTGAACCGGCTTCCTGTCATTCAGTAAAGGTAGCGGGTCGACCACCAGTCTAGGTTTATACAGACATTTCCCATTCCGCTCGCGCCCCCGCTCCCGCTCCCGCTCCCGCTCTTACACGCTTTGCTCCCATGTATTGCACAGAACTACCCTTAAAACCTTGAACAAGGCATTACGGAAGAAAGCCCTCGTTACATTAAAACCCTTAATTTCAACCGCACAGCCGCGTCGATACCCCTAAAGGTTCGAATACCCTACACCGTAAATCGGACGACATTTCAACCCGCCGGAGAGAGCTTTGCCACGTGGACCTATTACATTCGCCACCGCACACTTCCGGCAACCTTTAATCGGACTAACGGCAGACTAAATCTAGAGAGAGAAACTAGAGAGAGAGTGTATATAACACGTATCTCCAAACAAAAATAATAAAAGAAATGAAAAACAAATCCCCTGCATCCTCTTGATATCATCTCTCTCTCTCTCTCTCTCTCTCTCTCTCTCCGTTTCATTTCGTGGACATCGTCGACCGGAAAATCGAATCGTCCCATCGGAGACTCTGAATCGGTTACTCTCTTACCATCCGGCTCAGGTTAGCCGCCACCCCTGTACTAATATTTCAAAATATTTCGTCCGAACCCGAAAATCATTTTTTAATCTCCGTCGGTTCTTGAGTTCCCGACGGCCGTCTCTTCCGTTAACGTGTGCACGATTATTAACCTGCGCACACCTTCTTTCTATTCATCTTCTGCGATTATTTCATCTAGTTATCGTGTATCCGGAGGTAAGTTTATCTGATGCTCTATTGGTTATTCTAGTTGTCTGATTATCTCCATTTCCAGTTAAATTTCTCGGCGATTTGAGGTCTCTAATGGTGGATTTAGGGTTTTCTCGAGTTTAAGGTTGGGCGATGGGAGTTCAATAGGGTTTTTGGCGGTCGATTATATCTGCTTTTGTTTTATGGTGACCGATCCGCTGTTTCCTCTATTGGTCTGCTTTGTTTTGGTTGTTCACTAGCATTGATCACTTTTCAAGGTTTCTGGATCGGATTCGATTTGATTTGAGATGTTTTTGGAGTTTGAATTGAATTGTCGGGTGGAGTGTGTGTGGAAATTGTGTGTTGCCATGCCGAAAAATTCTAGCTGCTTTCCAGACTTCATTTGAACTCTCGTAGATACTTATTGTGGCGATGGTTGGATGACTAGAATAACTTTCGATTCCATCAACTCCTTGCCACCTGACTTTTGTTGCTCTTTCCTCGAGTTTCTGTCATTCTCGCTGTCTTGGCGTTCCAAATGACAAAGCATCATATGTAACTTCAGTTTATTGTCATTACTTTTTTAATGCTTTTAGTTGGGTAGAGTATTTTTTTGTTGCAATTCCAGAGAGAATTCCCGTAAAAACGGTTGTGGATTGAACTGTAAATAGTCTTCATTCAATGTCTGGCTGTTCATGTGTTTTTGCTGAATGAAGTTTGAATGAGCAAGAGTTGCTTGTTTCCTTCATTCCCACTCCAATTGCTTGATTTTGTGTTGTTATTTGAGCATGTCTAATAGTTGACATGGTCTGCTTGTTCTTCATGCTTTTTTTGAAGAAAAATATGACAGTTTTATAGCAAATCTATTTTGTTGTTTCCATGGATTACTTGTCACATTCTGCTTGTATTGGCTTTGCAGCACAGACTTTTTCAGACTATGAGTTTGACATACATTTAGTTCCATGTAAAAAAGAGATGGCATTCTTTAGAAATTACTCAAATGGGAAAGATTCACGCACTGTCCTGGATGATAAAGGCCATGATCACAGTGTTGAAAGAGTTAATAATTCAGTAGGTGATGAAGATTTGGATGCAAGTTCAAGCGAGAAGGATGGTGAGTTGAAGATGGAGGAACACTACCAGAGTGAGGATGAACCAGATGATACCAATAGGCCACGGGATGATAGATCTGGTGAGAATGGAATTGCCGGACAAAAACAGAATTTTCAGCCATCAGGAAGAAGAAATGCTGTGGTTGGAAAATGGGGTTCTTCTTTTTGGAAGGACTGTCAGCCCATGTCTCCTCGGGAAGGATCTGAATCAGTGCAGGATTCTAAGGACATGGATTCTGATTATAAGAATGAGGAGGGATCTGATCATCATTCCTCAGATGAGAAGGAAGATAGGTCGGAGTCAGAAGATTATGAGGGTCAGAAAGAGGTTCAACTTCAGCGAGGTCATACTGATGTCCCCACAGATGAGATGTTGTCTGATGATTATTATGAGCAGGATGGAGAAGAGCAGAGTGATTCTTTACATTACAGAGAACTCAACCGGTCAACCACTTCAAGTTTTAGGCCACAATCCACACCTGTTGCTGTCAATAATAATGTGTCAAGGAGTTCAAAGGCTGCAAATGCTCATAAATATGACAATGATGATGATATTGATTATGAAGATGAGGATGAGGATGAGGATGATGAAGATGGTACTTTTTTTTGATGTTAATTACTTAACTTTCTAGACTATGATTGAAATTCTAAAGTTCAAGAAAGCTTTAATAATTTGTCGGCTTTTTCAGCATTATGATATAACAAATATTAATTTTTTGATTGCAGAAGATGATCCAGATGATGAAGATTTTGATCCTGATTATGGAGGCACAAGCAGCCGCAAAAGGAACAAGGTTAAGTTGTGATGTTTTTTTTTTTCCCTGTATCACACTACCATCATACATTTCAGTTGTCATCACAGCTTCTGAAAACCATGCATAAATAAAAATTGTGAAATCATGGGGGTTGGTTTACAACCTTATTATTGGTATCTCATTACGATCACTTGAAAATATTTTTGGGGAGAATTGTAAAAAACACAAGTTTTTGGCCAGGCATCAGAAAGAATTTAATATAAAGGAACAATCACACATGTACATTTTATAACTTGGTCATTACAAATAGAAGGAACCATTTGTAGTAAGTTAGTTTGGACTTGGTTTAACTCATTTAATTGCCTTGATTTCTAGATTTAACACCTCATTCTCACAGAATAACCTACACTTTTTTTTCTTATTTTCTTTGTTGGCACTGTTCTTTCTGTTTGGTGTTTTCTCCTTGTTCCTCTTGTCCTCTCCCTTGTGTTTAATAGTATTTTTTGGTTAATCATGATTAGGGATTAAAATTTTGGTTTTCTGTTTAACATGCATTACTTCTCCCCATTTTCTGTCCTCCCTAATTATTGAAATGTGTAGAATGCTGAATTCATATTACCTATAAAGTATTCCAAGTTTAATGGACATGGGGGGGGGGCTTGATTGGTCTTTGTCACCTACTGATTACATCAAGTTGAACTTTGATGGGTGCACTCTTGGTGATTCTATGAACTTGAGATCTATACCATTGTCCTACATGGAATAGCTTTTTTTATTATTTATTGGGAGTGTTTGACTTGGTTGTGTATCTTGTGTTGCATGAGTATGGAGGCAGGTGTCTGAATCCAACATGTTTGGGGAAAGTTCCATTAGTTAGTAGCCTTCTGAAGCTCAAGATTCGTGTATGCATGAAACAAACTATAGTTATAATTCAAAAAAAAATCTTTCCATCTAGGTGTAGAAAACTTGTAGCAGTGATGTGTGGTGGCTGTTGATTTATGTCTCACTTGTAGGAATCGTATGCAGAAGTGTAGGAATCCATGGTATGCTGGAGTCCAATGCATGTTCAGCATGGATAACTAATTCATATATAGGATTCATGCAATACTTGTCTATTGGTTCTCTATATTTGCTTATTGATTGGCATGTAGGTTATAGTTGTCATTTGTCAATGTGCCAAGAAATGGGTAGGCGACAAGATGTCCACCTAGGCATTACCTAAATGATGGTTTTCCATAAAAAACTTGGCTAGTTTAAGGTTCTCACCTATACTTTAAATCATTGGTTTTTGGTAACAAGTATTAAATAATAAAAGTGGTGTAACATTATTCATAAAAAAAGTGGTATAACATGAAAGGATCAACCGTTAGAAGTAGAAAACAAGAGGATGGAGTCTCAATTTTGTTGATGCCAGAGAAAGATACAAAGAGAATGCAATTTTGTTAGTGTAAACTGGAGAATGGCCTAATGGGAGAATAAGTTAAAAAAAGGCATAGAGTGTCGAATATGGCAGTGAAACAAATGGGTGGAGAGACAGTATGTTCATGTGTATGTTAATACTTAATACTAGAGAAAGTGGGAAAAAAATAAAGGGCCAGAGCCCTTATTCTGCCATGTATATAGAGTGGAATGAAACTCTGTTTGGTTCACAGATTTTTTTTTTCTTTGAGAAGAAATTAACTTTATTCAAAGAGAGAAAAGGTTCACAGAGATATATAGAGAAGGAAGTAGAAGATGCCTCTTATGAAATATCCTGATGAAAACTGGTAGCTAAAGTATTCATAGAAAAAGCTAGTAGTTGAAGTATTTATTTATTGATGTTTTTTAAACCATTTTATTTCATTTCGTGTTAGTTTTGGATGGTTTGTTCACTAACTATAGTTTCTGGTTATAGGTATTTAATTTTGGATACTGAATGATGAGCCTTGCTACTTCACTCTGTGCTTTCATGCTTCTGAATTCCAATCGTAAACAGCAGATTGAATACTGGCACACTAACCATATGCCAGGTTTTGTCTTTTTTTTAATGATGACAGGATAAAGAGTGGGATAGCTATGACTCAGACGAGGATGACTTTAATGAGGACGACCTTGATATCTCAGATGAAGATGATGCAGATTATATGGGGAAACCCAAGCGCAGGGGAGGATATAAAGGTGGACGTAATTTGAAGTCTGCCAGGGAACAGAAGCCTTCTGCTGCACATAATCGTCAAAGAAGAAGAAGAATGTCTTTTGATGATGATGAATCATCAGCAAAAGACACAGAAGATGACAGTGATGAGGACTTCAAAGGTAGAACAAAGAGGGGTGCACATCTCCGTAAGAACAATGGTGGTCAATCCACAATCTCTGCAAATGCTGGTGTGCGCAGTAGTGAGCTTCGCACTTCAAGTAGGTCAGTGCGGAAAGTATCATATGTTGAAAGTGAAGAAAGTGAAGAAATTGATGAAGGAAAGACCAAAAAACCCCAAAAGGTCTGTACCATTAACCATGTCCATGATAATGTTTCATTGCAACTATTGATGTATAACAAACCTTTTACATGCTATGTGTTGAAATATGCGTCCATATGGATTGGAAATTCTGGAGAATTACAGAAAATAAATTTGAATTTCAAACTTTCAGTTGTGTAAAGTATGTCTATATGGCAGAAGTAAGATATCTTTTGAGTTTAAATTTTCAGATCCATGTTTCTTCTGTTTGGTGGAATGAGATATTTAATGGCTGAATAAAGAACTGACCTTTTGTAAATCCAAAATGTGGTTCATGTTCTTTTATACCTTCAGTGTTCAATTCCTGGAAGTGAAAGCTTTACCGCAATTCACATGGGTTAGTTAACATGGGTCAGCCTGCTCTTACTTTTTTCCGCCAAGTTTGTGCTAGATGACTTGCACAGTATAAAAATCTCCAATTGATGCATTTCAGCTACTCAATACTGTTGAATCTTCTTGATTTGGTTACTAATAAATGCTCAATACCATGGCCCTAGTGCCAAGAATATTAATCACTTGGCTCACAGTCACTCTAATTCTGCACCTTCATCATTTCCATGTGGGGCTATTTAACCATTCTATTCATTCATTACTAATATCTTATGAAATGAAGGTTTCAGGAAGGCTATTATTGTTACTACCTTCTACCATTATATGTATTTTGCCTTTTAGTTTACAAACTTCACCACATATTAATGTATGACTCCTAGTTACTTAAACATGCTTAGATGCCCATATTGGCAAATTATGTTATTGACATTGTTACTCTAGTTTGCATGTCAATTTCCAAATTCCTATTGTATTCTATCTATTATTTCAGTTTGCCCCAATCTACCCACTTGTTTTGTAAACAAAAATAAATATTTAAAGGGCGTGCGAAAGCAAATATTTCTGTAAGGAACTTATTGGTTCCTTGAACTTGGCAAACATGAATGCTGGAAAAAGTCAAAAACATAGATAAGGAAGAAGGAAGCATGTTATTTTTTTGAGATGGACTTGCTGTATCAAAGGATTGGATTTTGTAAAATAACATGTTCTATTATGTTCATTTCATTTTCAATGTTCATGTTCCTCATGCTATCTCTAAATCAGAGTCCTTTTTAGTAGGGCTGTGAATGGATCGAATTCAAATTGGATATACCTAGATCCATATCTAATCCATTAATTCCATTGGATTCAGATTATTTGTCAGATTGGATTAGGATATTTGCATACCTTTGATAAATTAAATTAGCAGATATTACCACAATATATATTAAAATGAACTAGTAACATATTAAATGCAAAATTAGACCAATTTTATTAATGGATACATACTTAAATGTATCAAATTTGTTTTGCCTTAATTGAATTGGATTCAGATTAGAATTTGAATTTGGAAAAAACAGATAATTTACTACTTATATAAAAAAAAGTACAGTTTACAACCCTATGCTTTTTTATTGATCAGATTTACAACCCTATACTTGTTACAAATATCTTTTTCATTTCTGTACATTATGATATATTACTCTTTCTCTAACAGGAGGACCTTGAAGAGGATGATAGTGACTCAATTGAGAAGGTACTGTGGCACCAACCAAAGGGCATGGCTGAAGAAGCCTTGAGGAACAACAAATCGATAGAGCCTACTATTTTGAACCACTTGTCAGACTCTGAAATTGATTGGAATGAGATGGAGTTTCTTATAAAATGGAAAGGGCAGTCATATTTACACTGCCAGTGGAAATCATTTTTTGATCTAAAAAATGTAAGTCATTAGATCATTTTGGGGGTAGCATTTGGATATAAGCTCAAGAATTTACTATAATGTATTCTTTCTCACATTGTCATTTTTTGGTGTTGAATATGTTATTGACTCTTTTTGTAAACTCTCAGGTTAGTGGATTTAAGAAGGTTTTAAATTATACAAAAAGGGCAATGGAAGAATGGAGTTATAGAAGCACACTGTCACGAGAGGAGGTAATATACACTTATTTCCTTCTTTCTTGGTGAGTGATGGATAATTGACATGCTTTAATTTTATAATCTATTAAGACTCCCTTTCTACTTTGAGATTTATCTAACAATAAATTTACATATTACTTGTCCTAACTGTATCTTGTCTTCTTCCAATTGTTTCGTATTTGTGATACAACTTTTGTAATTATTAAGTACTTAAATTTATTGGCGAGTTCAATTCCAAAGTAGGTAAAAATTGAAAATTCTGTTGGTCAATTGGGTTTCTCTCAATAAGTTAATTTGACAGCCATACCGGTTGAGTTATAGTGGCCCCATCTTTTCAGGATAATCAGTAATAGGAGACACCTTCCAGGAAGTTATATCTGGGAACTCAGAACTTTTCAGCTTTCAACAGACGGAGCAGAACATCTTTGTCTTCTGTGACTAAAATAATGACATGGAAATATGTAATATGTACATTTCCAGACAACTTCATGATGAGAGTTGAAGGCTATCCAGTTTGATACATCTTTAGTTATATGACTGCCTTTTGAACCAAAGAACATGCTTCCCATATGGTTGGTACAAATACCAAAAAGGTAAAATAGGGGATATTTGTTGGCAGAAAATGTTGGACGTTATGTTCATGGCCTATTTTCTCATGGAATGCTTATGGTGTGTAGACAACCATACAATGAACATGGACTAAGATACTTCAGTTATCAAAAAAAGGACTACAATTTAAATAGCCCTCTTAGTTTTTCGTCCATGTTCTTGGAACATTTTTATCCATTGTGATTTTCTAGAGTACTATAAACCTGAATAAATGAATTTAAAAGTTCTTTTTGATATGTAATAAGTATTGTCTTAATGGAAAAAGGGTTATCTCACTCTAAAACTGATATATTCTAAGGGTACATCCTTGAGACATGATTTAACACTTGTACAAAAATGTAAGAAATTGATGATAGTCTTTTTCAACTAGATGAAAATAATGGGCTATAATCAAAATAAGAGAAGAAAAATGATAGTAGGGGAAAAAGTTCCTCGTGGCTATCACTCAACCACTACGATTGGAGTTGCTCTCTGAATGAAGATAGAACCCTGAACCCCACAACTCCTCCCCCCCGCAAATATACATTAACTGGGTTCTTGTCTTGGAAGTTACCTTAACTAACTCATCAATGGTACCATCTTGTGTATTCCGTACCAAGGTTCAAAATATTGTTATGTATCGGCCAATATGTATCGTATCGGGGCCTTCCTGATACGCCCCTACAGGGGGTGTATCGGGTCAGGCCATGGTTCAGAGGGTACCCGGGACTTAAACCGGCCCCTCTGTACCGGTTTTGAAAAAAAAATAAAACATAAAAAAGAGCACCGATACAGGTGTATCGGCCTGTATCGATATTTAGAACCTTGTTCTGTACAATTTTGATACTTTTCTAGACCATACTTCACAGTTTCAAAAAATAAAGTTAGTTTTCAATGGGAAATATAGCAATTTCCATAATATCTCATGTCAATACCTATGGAAATAGAATTATGTCATGGGAGTATTGGGAAATATGTCAACATTTTAAAACATGATTACATGCTTTATGCTTATTTAGCGTCAATACATTAAATATGTAGACCCAAAACAGCTGGTTCCTCTATACTCCTTTTCTACCAATGCATCTTCCTTGATTTGATGATATCTGCAGCCAAATAAAAGTCATTCTTAGTTGTCTAACCAGATGCTTCACCTCCATTACAATGTCTCAGCAAGCATGTCTCTCTTTGAAAACTGTATGCTTTAAGTGAAGAAAGAGCTGGCAAATCAGGGCCTCTATCACTTTCCATTGTTCAAAGTTATATATATGAATACATTAATAAACCATTTACTTTTGACTTTCAAGTTGACTCACTAGATTTGCAAGTTTACTCAAACGGGTGGCTTACTTGGGGGGTTTTCACCAATATGTATTATTTTGTTTTTTAAAACAAAAAACAACTGCCATGTCAGTACACCCTTTTAGAGGATGATAGTTGGGGTCCAAGTGTCCAACATGCCATTTGCAAGGACTGTGCTTCTTGTGCAATGGAATCCACCAAGGTATTACCAACAGGGGGGGGGTCTGTACTGTAGATATTCTGTGGATTACTTGGTTCTGAAACACACCATACCCATTTGGCGTTCTTTTAGGAGTGTGGCATGTTTAAAATCCATTGAAACACAAAACATTGCAATTTTTCTTCTATGCCGAAATCTTGTGGATCAGTGTGAACCATGGTCAATTTGGATGATTACTATACGTAATGTAATAAATGACTGAAATATTTTAGTATTTAAAATTTTGCTAATAGTACATCCACACCAAGTGCAGAACACCTTATGGAGTGTGATGTGGTCCAAACCATGTAATTTGAATCACTCAACAGTAGGGCCCAGTAGATCTAAGATACCTTATCCGTGCCACAGTGCAGAACACCTTATGGAGTGTGATGTGGTTCAAACCATGTGATTTCAATCACTCAACAGTAGGGCCCAGTAGATGCAATCATCCAGACGCACCACACCTTATTAGAGTACACACTACTGAACAAACTGAATTTTAATGGATGCAGCACTGGAACCAGGGTGATCAGGTATAGGTGGAGTGTGTGGGGAGATGAAAATAGGAAAATACTTGCAGTGTACTTTGGACTGGCCAACTTTGGGAGCTCTTTTTGAAATGGAAGCTTTGGGAATTCTACAAGGGCATAAGTACCAGCTGTGCTGCAAGGATTAAGAGCTGGAATCACTATAGATTTAAAAAATGTAATACTGGAAGGGGACTCAAGGTAGTGGTAGGCCAGATGAGAGACAGCAATCATGGACTATGGAAGTATGAATGCATTGTAAGGGAGGCAGGAAATTGGCACAGGAGATGGAACCTATTTTTTTCTAAGATTTTGACAAACAATTTGGCTGATGCCTTGTCCTAGCATGGAGCAAATACAGGACACTTATTTTTATTTTTATTTTTGTTGAGGGGTGGGCTCAAATGTAGTGAAAATAACATATCAGGTGTGTAGGCTGCTTGCTATGCTAGTTCACAAAAGGATGCTTGGCATATTGTATATTTCTTGTTCTTTTTATAAAATCTAATAAAGTCTAATAGTTACACACAAAAAATTAATCTTTTGATTTTTTAACACTGCCTTCACAAGTAATTAGAGAGAAAAACAGCTCTGAGACCCTAACTAATTAGAGACCCTAATCCTTCATTGGTCAGTCCTATGAATGCCATAGGGAAAGGACTATGCCAGTTGAGATTAGAGCTTTTAGTTGGGAGGTATTTCATAACAAACACTTTTGTGAATCCCCAATGGAGAATGCCCTTCTGGAATCTATCACCTTGTGTGTGCTCCCTGTGCAAAGCTAATGAGCACATACTTTCCACCTGCTGTCTCCTGAAACTTGGTGTTTGCTATATTGGAAGAATTCCCTCTGCCTTTGCTTGCAAATGGTCTCCTCTAGGTGATTTGAGAAGTTTATTTCAGACATCTTTCTTCGCACCACCAAGGAAGAGAGGCAAGATTATGTGGAGATGCACTTGAATTGGCATTATCATATGTTTCTTCCTGTGTTGAATAGGGAGAAAAACTTTCCAAAGATTTTACCCTGTGAGCCACCCTAGTAGTAATGCATTCAATTATTGCTTCTATGTTTCTATCCTTTTACTTAAAAGACATCCAAGTCTGGATGTCTAGTCTTGAGGGATCCAAAAATGCCTCATCGAGGTCTTGCAGAAGCCTAAGTACATTTGGAATCTCTGAATCTCTAAAACCCCTTCTAAAACCCAAGTTCCAATCAAAGCCATTTTGAGGAACTGAGGGAATTGCAAATTTTGAGACAGTTTCCCCTTTATAAGCAGACAAAGCATATAGAAAGGGAAATTGGTCTTAAGGAAGAATGCCCAACCCACTCATGCTCCCAAAGTTTGACACTGTTACCATAACGAACATCATGCCTGATGCAAGGGAGGATGAAATGGGTAGCCTTCCATGGAGAGGCCCACAAAACCTTAGTAGATAATCCAGCATCTTGTTTGTTGTCCATCTGCCCATAAATACTTGTTACCACTTTGTGATACAGTTTGCCCCCATCTTCAGGCAACCTCCACAAGCACTTCCTCAACCATGTACTATGTCTATTGTAGTCATTTGGTAGTAACTAGTAAGGGAATGTTTCACATATGTACTAAATAAATTTGGTTGTTTTGGTAATTTTTATTCTCAACTCCAACTTATGTCTCTATGTTTCCATCAGGTTGAGGTTCATGACGTGAACAAGGAGATGGACTTGGATCTGATAAAGCAACATAGTCAGGTTTTTGATTTCTTTCATTCTATTTTCAGTTCACTGCTTTCTTTCTATCCTATACTTCCTCTTTCAACTTCTTAATAATTTGTTGACTATGAAATGAAATTACCAGGTGGAAAGAATATTTTCCGACAGAATCAGTAAGGGTGGGTCGGATGATGTGATGCCAGAATATCTAGTCAAGTGGCGAGGACTTTCATATGCAGAAGCAACCTGGTACATTTTTCTGTTGTAGCATGCATAGGTCTTTGTGTGTGTGTGTGTAGGTATGCATGGATGTTTGCATTACTTTCTTTGGTTAGTTGTGCAACATTGTCTTTCGTGCTTTGTTGTGGTTGGGCATTTCTTTAAGAGCAGATACTCTGATGATTATGATGGTTACTGTTATGATGTTTCAGGGAAAAGGATGTAGATATTGCATTTGCTCAAGATGCAATTGATGAATACAAGGTAATATATTCTAATGGGTTCCTGTAATACTTATCACATGCCCTCTCCCAAAAGATCTTGTATATAAAATTAGGCCCTTGCATCAGAAGTCAGCTTAGTGAAGGTTGTAGGAGATTGTCCACACTATGTGATGTTAATGCTTAATAGTCCACAAAAAGTCTCAGATCTTATTTACCACATGCATATTTTATAGGAAGTACCACAAGAAATGGTCATCACTGTAATACAACGTTTTAAAATGTGGAGGCGTGATGCGAGGCGTTCCACTACCTAGAGGCGTGAGGTGTAGTTCAGAATGCAAGAGGCGTAAGCCTCCTTAAGAGGAGGGGGGTTAGGAGGAGGAAGGGGAGGAGGATGAAGAGGAAGGGGGATCTCATTTTTTCTTTATTTTTAATAAAAATCTTTTATATTAAAAAGAATAAAGATGCATAACATTAGTTGAAGGGGGGGGGGTCTTGTCGAAGCGGAGGGCCCCCCAGCCGAAGGGGCAGGGGGCAAACCAATTTCTTTCCCCTTATCTTTTATTCTCTTCCCTTTCCTTTTCTTTTCTTTCCTTTTCTCTTTTTTTCTTTCTCTTTCTTTTTCTTTCCCTTCCCTTTCTTTTCTTTTCCTTTCCTTTCCTTTCCTTTTATTTCTTTTTTTTTCTGCATTTTTATATAAGATGTGCATGCGGCGTACGCCTCTAGCATGCCTCATGAAGAAAGCGCATGATTTGAGGCGTATGCCTCAGAGGTATCAGCGCTTCTGGCATACACCTCAGGGCGTTTTGGGAGCACCTCGCCTGGAGGCGCTCCTCCAGGCGTACGCCTCCCACGCCTTTTAAAACACTGCTGTAATAGAATCTCATATTTAAACATTGCATGGGAAGTGTTGTTTCTCTTCAAATTTTTTGGATGCCCTATTTGCTAGCTCTAATTCCTTCTCCCCTTCCCCAGCCAATGTATTTCACAAATCCCTTGTTGATTTGTTAAAGAAATGCAACCTTTTACATTTTGAGGGATGGTTTTGTATTAAATTCTTTTATTTGATATATTTTATTACATCTAAACTATACATGTGAAACCTAAATATTCACTATTTTATCAATTTTTTTTTTTGCGAGAATGTATTGTATTACATTGCAAGTTATAAATTGGGATCATGTACAACAAGATGCTATACTCAAGGGCAAAACAAAAGCTGCCCCTGCAGCACTAACCCTCAAAGCCCTGATTTACAAAAAAATTTCCTTGTACAGAAAAAGAAGTAAAAACTTTCTTTAGACATGCCACTCCCAGCTAGATTATCTTCCACTGCATTGTATCTTGATAGCAGTTGAATGACATGTTTATTTTAGCAGCCAAGTTTTAGTTCTCTTTGACATTTTTTTTTGAAAAAGGTAAGGCAAATATTTATTAAGATGGAACCAGATTACAGAATACAATAGGCCCCTCAAAACAACAAACCAGAGGCCAATAACCCAGGAATACATTACAAGTTAAACATCACCATCTATCAGCTGGGCTCCCAAAACCCTTGGTTGAACCCCTTTCACAGAAGCAGTCCAGGAGACTAAATTCCCAAAAGTAAAGGAAATTAGTTGATCCACTTCCCTGTGTTTGTTCTGGAAGATTCTGCTGTTTCTTTCAGCCCAAATGGTACTAATTACTGCTGCAGGAATGGAGGACCAAACACTTTTTGCTACCTTGGACAGTCGTTTTTGTTCCCAACACCATAAGAGGTCAAGAAGAGTCGCTGGCATAACCCAATGGAGATGCCAGGAGGACAAGAAGTGGTTCCAGATTGTAGTGGAAATAGAGCACTACAGAAATAAGTGGTTACTATCTTCCACTTGATTGCAGAACACACAAGACAGGTCCTGGAGCTGGACTCCTCACCAGATTCTTTTTGGTGAGATGCTTATTCAAAGCCACAACCCAGAGCAAGGCATTTAGCTTTGAAGGGACAACCGGATTCTAGACTTTTTCAGCAGGAAAATCAGCTTGAAGACCACTTTCAAGGTTCCTGGCAAATGAGTTAACAGAGAACAAACCATCACTATTCCAATTCCAGTTCCAGGTGTCATCTTCAAGCAAGTTCAGGTTCTGGTTGGACAACAACCCCAGCAGATTTGACACAAGGTCCAGTTCCCAATTCTGAAAATGTCTTCTGAAAGAAGGGCACCAAACATAGATGTTGTCTTGGACCTCACAGCAGTCAGCCACCATGATATCTTGATTCTCTTCAATTTGGTACAACTGAGGAAACATCTCTGCTAAAGACATGTTACAGCACCAGATATCCTTCCAAAAGCTTACCCTTTGTCCATTTCCCAGCTTAACTGAAAGACCCTTACTTATCAGAGGGAAAACTTCCATGGTTTTCTTCCAGATGGAGCACCCCAGAGAGGTCATAGAAGTAGTGGTCACCCAATCCCCACTGTCTGTGTTCTATTTCCCAGAAGAGCCTTGTTAAAGACCTTCAATTTCCTAACCCCCAGACCTTCTTTTTGTTTAGGGGCACAAAACCTGATCCCAGCTGACCAAGTGAATCTTCTTCTCTTCCCACCATTTCCATAGGAAGTCTCTCTGCAGTTTTTCCACTTTTTGGGCCACTTTCCTTGGCATTGGGAAAAGAGACAGAAAGTAGGAGGACAGATTTATAAGGAACTTTTTAGAAGTATAATCCTACCACCTAAAGAGAGAGATTTTGTTTTCCAGGAAGCCAACTTCCTTTGACCTATTTAAGCACCAAGTATCATCAGAGTAGTGGACATTTAACAAACTAAGTGCGAAGGAAAATATACAAGAACATTCTATTCACTGTCATGAATACTCCTCCAAGCTCCAACCTTGAATTTTCAGAATACCTAGAGAATGGCACAAACATTAAGTTTGATGAAACTGGTCGTTGGTGGATCCTACTGATGATTTTTTTTTGATAATTGAATTAGATTTTTTTATCAAAAGAAGGAAACTGATTCAAATACCCCAAGGGGGGGGGCGAGGTGTAGCTATACCCTTGTGCAACTATATCTCAAAATTGGAAATTACAACACAACCCAAAAAAGAGAATTCCTAAAAGCTGCTTGTTTTGCTAAGAACTCTGCCATTGCTTTAGCCGACCTGCTTACCCATTGTATCCTAGTTGTCACATGCCTTGCTAGCCACTTGACTTCCTTTAGTAGGTCGCCATAGTGCCAAGTAACAGAATCCGTATCCGACATCCACCCCACCACCACATTAGAATTGCCCTCTACAATTGGACTGTTTACACCAAGTTGATTTGCAACCTGAATTCCTTGTACGACAACTAGCAACTCAGCCCTAGTAGAATCTCCTTTACCTATTGGCCTTGAAAACAATGACAAGATAAAGCCTTCTTCATTTCCTAGAACTCCACCTACTCTTGACAAACCAGGATCACCCTGACTGCTCCCATCAAAATTCAACTTTCTAATCCCTTCCAATGGTGGATTCTAATCTACAAAGGACTTGTTTCTTCTAGTACAACTATTGAGCACTACCAACCAATTCCTCCATGGGTCATTGAAAGTGAAAAATTGAAAGGACTTCAGGGTTTTCAGCCAATGTATTACCCTTGTTAGAATGCCCCCCTTTAGTTTTGATAAACTTCTTTCATTCTTTTGGAAAATTTTGGTATTCCTCTCTTCACAAATAGCCCATAAAGTAGCTGCTCTAATACTCTTCCGCATGATTCTCCTCCCTTTTGTGGGCTAAACAAAAGTGGCCGGATCATTTAGTAGACTAATTTCTGTTGGCAAATTCCTCCTGCACCCAAACGAAGCAAAAATCCAACTTCAAATAACTACAACAACCAGGTAGGAAATTAATAAATGGTAATAGATCTTACTATTAGCTTTGCAAAGAAGATACTTGTTAGGGGACAAACACAAGAAATGTTGCCTCTTTTGCAGGTTTTTCAAAGCGTTAATCTTTCCATAAAAAAATTTCCCAACAAAAAACAACAATTTTAGGGGGAATCGACCTAATCTAGACTTCCTTAACAAGGAAAATGCAAGGAGTTGATTGAGAAAAGAAGGATCTAAAAAAAAAAAAAAGAACAGCAACCCTTCGGAATCGGTGATCCAATCCTTTTATATGGTTTAGAAGGGCCCTGACAGAAAATTGCCAAGAAAAAGTAAGAGCTTAGAAACACTAACAGCCTTGTCATCCCTCAAACCTCTTAGGAAGCCAAAATTCCAATTCAAAGACAAAGGGAGAAGAGGAGGTGAAAGGAAGTTAAAAACAACCACTTTCTTATACAAAGAAATGGAATAAAGAGAGGGAAAAAGATCCTTGAGAGGTTGGTTGCCCACCCAAGTGTCTTTACAAAAAAAGCATTGAGTCACCAGAACAAACACCCTACCTAACAAAATTGAGGAATTAAGGAAGAATGCCATGAATTGCTTTCTAGTGAGTTGCCAAAGTATCCTGACGAGAAATACTAACATCCCAACCATTTTCCAGAACACCCTGTATGCTTGCTACTATCTCATGCTACAACGTCTCTCTCTCTCCAATAGCCATCTCCGTAACCACTTCCCTAATAAGGCTGCATTCCTATGGACTATGTTCCCTAATCCCAAACGACCTTCCTCTTTACTTCAACATACTAAATCCCACCTAATTAGATGGTCCCATTTCTCTTCGATTCCCAAAGAAAGTCCTAATCAACTTTTTACTTCTTAGCTTCCCTAGGGGTAACCCTAAAAACCGAATGGAAGTAAACAAGGAGGTTAGCTGGTGTAGCTTTTATCAATGTGAGTAGGTGACCTACCACCTCCCCTTCCACCCAAAGAAATGTAACTTTTCTTCCACAACACTAGTCCTTTTTTTTCAAATCTTTCTACCACTAGGTCCCAAAATCGGCTCTCCTTTGGGTTAGCACCTAGGGGAAGGCCTAAGTAAGTCAAAGGCCAAGGGAGTTGCATGTGCTTGAATGAATGTTGTTTGCTGACCATGTATTTCTTTCCAGGTTAGAAAATTGAAGACAAGTTTGTTTCTGTTTATCTTTGACAATGTTGATGAAGCAAGTGAGACTTTGGAACAAGAACAAAATCTGGTTTGCTTTCCCAAGCTTAGGCTTGGGAGATGGAGTCCATTGGTTGTAGTAGTTTGAGATTTGGGATCATCGAGTCTAGTATATATCAACATTTACAGTATTCCATTGCACGATTAGTGTTTTCAAACATTCAAAGCAATGGGAGATGCTTGTGTTTTCAAATGTTCAGATCGGTCGGTAACTTGGTCGAAGTGCGTGAGATTCATTTGGTACCTTTGTTCTTGTTTGATGGATAAGAGGGGGTGGAGATTGGGCAGAGGGGTAGGGTGGAGGAGAGTGAGCTTGCTAAAGATGATCATTAGAGAGTTGCAAAAAGTGAATATGTGTCTGAAAAAGGTATAGCCAATGTTGTAGAAAGTTGGACTTGTTTAGAGGACCAAGTTGTCATCAGATTATTCTTCTTCTTTTGAGGAAGTGGTGGTTGGTAAGTTATGTATAGATTTGGAGCGTTGGAGGAAGGTTGAGGAAAGAGATGAGGTTGTTGTGAAAAGGTAGTTCCTAAGAAGACTTGTGGCTCAAGCCACACATCATTCACGCCACTAAAGTTTCTCTTGTTCGATGTGTGGTTTGATTGGAGCAGGGCCCACAAAAATTTATAAGAGGGTGTATTTTAGAAAAGGGGGGAAGACAAAAACATTGACATCAATGGTTTCAAATGGGGTAGGGTCTCTTGACACCTTTAGTTTAGACTCTAGTTTGGTGAATTTATCTCAAGAGAAGAAGAAAAAATGGGGATTGGGATGAAAGTACGAGGGAATTGGTTGGTAGGACCTTTGTTGAAGAAGTGAAGAAGGAACAATGCTTGGCTATCGAGAAAATTGTTGAGAAAAATATTGAGGTGGGCAAAAGTCTTAGTTTGTTCTTCGGATGGGGAGGCATTTACTAGAAAGCCATTGATTGAGTTTGAGAGGAGGGAAGAGAGTGTAATAGGGGAAGGAGGAGAAGTCTGGAATGAGGCTGTTGATGGACAGGAGGAAATGCTTGAGGGGGAGGAAGTGGTGGTGTGTGTTCGTTGTGTCTTTGTTTTGTTTTGTTGGAGTCAAGTGCCAGCCCTTGGTTCAGGGGTGTGGTGTCGAAGGTTGACGGTTTGTGGGAGGTCAGTGTTGTTTTGTATGTTAGGAGCTCTTTTTGTTTTTTGTGGCTGCTTGATGTAGTTCAGTTGGTGTTCTTTTTCTCTCCAGTGATAGCTTGTCACCTTTCTCTTGTATTCTCTTTTTTCTCTTAATAAATTTTCTTTTATTATAAAAAAGGTCAGAGGTAACTCTTGGCAAAGCTCTAGCAACCAAATCTCTCTAATGACTTTCCAAGCCTTAATTGAAGAGAAATCTATGTAGTTTTGAACAAATGGGAACTTCCTGGAAGTTAGATTGTGTGAAATTAGCTTGCAGCAAGGGGATTTCCTTTAACTCACATGTATTAATAATGTCATTGAACTACCTCATCGTAGTAGTTCTGGAATGATGAGGATTGTTTGATTCATTACAAAATCTAATCACATCAAAATCTCCGCCCAAGCTCCAAGGACCTTCTCACAGACCTTGAATTCCAAATGGTTCCTCCCACATCTCATATGTTAGGTCCATAAATTTTAGTTAATACCCGGATGAATCCGTCCAAATTTCTGAATTTTAAGTAAATTGAAAAGCCACCTATTAATTCTTCAATTGGTTCTAAAACATCATCATTTCTCCATAATGTAACCAGCCTCCCTGAAGCTCCCCAGGAAGGGGGTGAAGTTCAACTCACTCGTGTAGTCATCTTGCTCTCCACACACTTCTCACCTATCTTCTATCTAGTTCAGCTAGCTTAGTTTCTTGCAACATCACTATATCTAGTCTAGTGTTTTAAAAGCGAAAGGCGCAAAAAAGGTGCAAGGGCCATTTTGCGCCTAAGGCGCAAGGCAAGGCACACGCCTTTTTGAGCCAAGGCGCACAATTTAAAAAAAAAGCTAAAAAATAAAAAAATTCAAAAAATTATAGAACATAATATTAATAAAAATATAAACTTAAGTTTTAAAATAAATGTTTTAAAAAACCTGTTATCTAAAGTTAAAATACATAAGCATAATATGTGAAGCATATTCAAATGAGAATTTAAAAATGAAATCAAACATATAAAACATTTTCAAGCATATAAAACCCACAATCTCTTTTTTTTTTCTCAATTGCATCAAGTAGCTAATGTGACATATTACATTCCTAATTCTACGAGCCGCCTTTGTGCTACACCCCTCAAGGCACGCCCAAACAAGTCCATGTTAGTGTCTTAAAATCTGAGTTTTCACACAAAAAATAATGATTTTATAGTTTTAATTGCTTTTAAGACCATAACATGGACTTGTTTGGGCTTGCCTCGAGGGGCGTGGCACGGGGGTCCGGGGGCGGAGCCCCCAGCCCAGCCGCTAGACTCAAAAAAAGGAAAAAGCGGCAAATTTTTAAAAGGCACAAGGCGCATCAGGCGTGCGCCTTTTGAATGGACTGCGCCTTGGACCTGGGCGAGGTGCCTACCCTAAAATGCAGTGCGCCTAGGCACGCCTTTTAAATCACTGATCTAGTTTTTCTCTTTTGAGCAAATCCTTGATAGCCCTTCTTTTCCTAGCACTTCCTAAGCCCCTCACACTCCAACTGATACTTTCATTGGGAAAAACTAAATAGTGACCCACCTTTATCAACACTAGCTCCTAGCCTCCTACTTAAGCACCTTCTTCATCTCACCTCTTCTACTAGATTCAATATCTCACCTCTTCTTTTCTCCCCCACTCTTCTTGACACGCTTATGATTCCTCGAAATTTTAACTTGGTTGACATCTGTCATAATGTTATTATAGGCAGAGATTTGAAGTGTTCTTGGAACAAAACTGGACCTAATTTGAGATTGAATAGTGAATATGGTTGAAACTGTGTTGAAATTTGATATTTCATTCTGAACAAGACAAAATTTAAAATTCAACATAAAGAGAACTTAAAATTGGCAACCCGATTTGAATTTTACTTGTCACTGATTTTAACACTGACACTAGCAATTTCCTGCATCTTCGCCTATAATTGTTACAGATATTGGTACCTTTGCTAAATGATATTGGCATATACAAGCAGTTACTATTTAAATAAATACATGGCTTCAAAAGCAATTGAATAAATACATGAAAAAATATTATTTTCATGGAGTTTTTTTTTTCCGATTTGTTTTAGAATATAATAGAATATTGTTATTTATCAAATAAAAAAATATAATAGAGCATTGTTATAATAGAACTGTATCTCTGCAGATCATTGATCCTATTCATAAAGTGAAGTTCTCTTCTGTGAGTTGTAGGCTGTATGTGTTTATAGCATTACATTCATTTAGAACTTAATCATCATCATCTAAGCCTTGTCCCAATTATATGGGACTATGGTAGTGATATTCATAAAAAAAACTATATAGGACAATGATCTGCAGAGAAATGATTCAGATTAGAAGTTACTTGTTTATTTTAGGTCCTTCTGTTCTCTTGGGGTTATCATTTGTTTGTGTCATTTGGTTTTGGTGTTATCATTTCTTTAATTTTGTGTCATATGCATAATAAATGGGCCATAAACTCAATTTATTAAATATATTATTATAGTAGTGCATGAAGGCTTCACAATTTATGAATAATTGTACCATGTCAAGGTTTCTGATATTCTTTTTATGAGCAGGCTCGGGAGGCTGCAATGACTGTCCAGGGAAAGATGGTTGATTTCCAAAGGAAGAAGATCAAAGGTCTGTATTTTGTGCCTCAACTTTGATTATCTCTCATTTCAGAAATGTCTTTAAAAGCTAGATCTTATATGTGTATGGAGTTCACAAGAAATGTCAACCAATGGTAAAGTTATGTTGTTCAAAATGTCTGTTAAGGTGTCTTGGCAATTCTAGGTGACGGGGGAGTGCCTAGCTGCCTAGGTGACAAGAATTTTATAATATAACAAACTAAATTTTAGGTTAGTTCCCTATTTTATATACCAGTGAGCATGCATAATAATTTTAAAATTAGCAATTTTCTTTATTAAGAACATTAAATTTCGTTCAAAACATGGCAAATCATCATATGTAAAAGACAAATAGTATTTTAGACAATGCAAGTTATTTTTTATTGTTACAAGACAATCCTTATTTTTGAATATAATACACGTTTTCTTTTGTAAACAACAGTGTTTTAATTAATATTGATTTCAATACTTTTAAAAATAATGCTAATATAATTTTTTTAAAAGAAGGTAAAAAAATAATGCAACAATTTGAGAATAAATACTAATATAATAACTATTTTAATAGAGTATTTTCATGCCAAATTAGCAACTAAAGAATGCAATAATTTTGTATAAAATTTTAAGATAGAAAGTAAGCTAAAGAGAAAAAAGGGGTGGTTCTGTTGTATTTAATGTAAGACGGGATGTATTTGGTGAGATCTTGGGGCTGGATAGTTAGAGCTTGCTGTTAAGTAGCATATCATTTGAGAATTAATACTTGTGAGCTTCAGAGGAAGTGAACTGAATGGTGTTTGTTGAGGAACATATCATTTGAAAATTACTACTTGTGAGCTTCTTCATAAGAAGAGAGTTGTATGGTGTTTATCTCCTCAATGTGTGCTCTTTGCTTCACATGTGAGTAGAGAGTACTTATCACGTGCAAATCTCCTGCCATTTTGTTAGTGGAATTAGGGAATGGTTTTTGCCCTTTTTGGCTGCAGGTGAATGGACTCTTCCTCTAGATGTGGTTAGCTTCTTTCATCCTAATTTTTTCCACTTTACTAAGAGGGAGGATGCTTTGGTGATGTATGAGAGCAGCATGCCTATGATCCATTTGTGAGGAAAGGAATCAATAACTTCTTAATGGCAAGGCAAGGTCCACTGGTCCTTAAGTGATATTATAGAAACCTCCACAATTAAGGTAGCTCGTTGGGTGGAGACAATCAGTCTCTTTGATCTCTTCTTTGTAGAAGCCATCATTGGAAGTTGCTTTTGGGTGGCAAAATTTTCAGCTGTTAGGTTGCAGATCTTTTTATTTTGGGCACCTCCTGAAGATGGCAGGGTAAAATTGAATTTTGATGGGTGTAATAGCCTAATAGGGGCAATTAGGGATCACTAGGCATTGGTGGGATTTTTAGGGATTGTAAAAAGGGTTCATATTGATCATCTTTTCAGGACAGGTTTGCAGCATTGTGAGGGCTTCACCAATGAAAAAAATTATAACATAGAGATAGAAGGGGATTAAGCAGTAGTGATTAAAAGCTATGGGAAGAGGAGAATCCCGTGACATGAGTGTCATGAAGGAGATGAAATTGTTGAAAAATGATAGGGTTGCAAATGTGAAATGAACACAAAGATTAGCAAATGAGATGGCTGATGCTTTGGCAAAAGAAGGGGTAAAACGAAGGGAGTTGTTTTGTGGGAGGGTGGAATGTTGTTGTAATAACAACTTATATAGCATACAGTTTGTTTGGTGGTGTCCTCAGCTATCATAATTGTGGATACTGGGTGTATTTGTAATTTTTTTCATTTTTCTAATATATTTATTTGATGTTATCTATCAATTGTGGATTTCTTAAAAACGGGAGAACATGCCTTCCCTCTATTTTGGTTGAATCGTTCTAATATTTTTATTTATTTATTTATTATTATTGTTATTATTTTTTTTTTGATTTCTCTGTCCTTAATCATTGTAATGCAGGCCTAAAATGGTGAAATGAAAATTAATTGGTTGCACAGTTTTTTTGATGTATTTCTTTTTGAGAACTATCATCTTCTGGCTCAAAACATTTAATCTCTGTGAACATCCTTTTTTAGTCTGGTAGCAGATATCTCTGTTCACCTTCTGGCTCAAAACACTTAATCTCTGTCAACATCCTTTTAAGGAAATATCTGCCATACAAATACAAAATGACAGATGGAAATATTGTAATAATTCTATGAATGGTGGAAAGTGGAAACATTGTGAAATATGTGGAAATATACAATTATATGTTGTGAAATGTTAAAAGAAGCATAGACTCTTTTATCTATTGACCAAAAAACTTGGGTTAATAGTTAAAATAATATGCTATGAAGATGTCTTATAGAATTTAGTTAAAACTATATGGAGTAAGTTTAAGCAAAGCTTAAATTGATAAAAAGTGTAAATGATTCTTATAGGTCAACCAAATGATCAGTTACACAGTGATCATTTCCATTTTGTTGGCAGTATTGCTGCTCCACATATCTATAGTATTGTTGCCAAATCATGTTATAGTACCGCCTCATGTGCTCGACATAGTGCTGGTGGTTTACATTGGGGAATATGTTGGTTCCCGTAATATATCATGTTGATACCAATGGAAATTGGAAATATGTCGTGGAATTAGGAAATATTTGGACATTGTAAGCCAGAATCTTATTGAGGTAGGCAGATCGGATGAAGAAACAATTTTCAAAGGAATGAGTTTGCACCAGGTTAGATTCATAGGAAACTCCTGATTTTCTTTCCTAGTCATCCTGTTATAAAAGGAGCTCACATTGTTCTTCCCACCCAGCCAAACTCTTTTATCCTCAGTAGTATGGTCATTATGGGTACTATAAAGCTTTTTCAATAAACGAGCAAAACGATTAATCTCCCAGTCATTTAAAGCTTTTCTAAAGATGGGTTCCAGACACAATTTCTATCGGAAATCTGCACATACTCTGCTACTTTTGCTTCCACACCAGGGAAATCATCTTTCAAAAGACTACCTCCACACCAGCAATCCTTCCAGAACTTGACCTTGGTTCCTTTCCCCACTTCAAAACTGATTTCCATACTGAAAAGACTCCAACTTTTCTCTATCCCTTTCCAAATCCAAACCGAGCATCCATATGACTGATTTGCTTCACTTGGACCCCAACTCCCACTTCTTAGGCCATATTTTCTTTTATTATTTTTCTGCACAGGCTGTTTTATGTCTAACCAAATCTCCAATACCATTTGCTGAGGAGAGCAATGTTCAAATCTCTTAAATTTCTGATTTCTAACCCTCCATTTTTCTTATGCTTGCATACCCTTCCCCAGTATACTAGATGAATTTTCTTAGCCTCCTCCCAGCCCTTCCATAAGGACTTCCTTAGTTTCTTTTCTATGGAGGTTGACATCTCAGCTGGAATTGGGCACATGGACAGTAAGTAGACCAGGACAGAAGTCAACACACTTTTAATTAATGTGAATTTACCCCCTTTTGATAAGTATTTGGACTTCCATGATACCAACTTCCATCCCACCTTCTCTACTATAAACTCCCAAATAAATTTTACAATGCATTTTGCCTCTAGAGGCATGCCCAGATATTTGATAGGCAGATTCTCCACCTTGAAACCCCAACAGTCTGAAAGCTTTTTTATTTGCCTGCCTGTTTTGCTATCAGGGACTGGATCTCTGTGAATAATATCTGCTGTGTTTTTTCTGCTTTTGCCAGTGGTCCTTATTAGCAAGAGTTATGATCGGTTAGGATCTTACAAATACTGTTATACATACATGTAAATAACATACAAAGAATAATGAATAGCACTGTTGTTCCAATTGTAAATTTTGTTGCATTATTTTTTTACCATAATACATTTTTTTTGATAATTATTTTTTACCATAATACATTCTGCTATTACTTAATGAACTTGTAAAATCATTATGGGATATTGAAAAATAAAAGAAATTGGAAGAAACTTACAACGTTATGAGTGAACGAGTGTCAAATACCACATTGTTGCCTTTGTTATTTGTCATTTGGACATTGCTGAACTTTCAATATTTTGCTAACTCCATTTCTTTCATCTTTTGAATTTTGCCTGGTTTTCCATTTTTTTTTTGTATTTTCTCATTACTGTTAAATCATTCAGACATTGACTTTATGTAACTTTTGAAAACAATTTTGCTCTTTAGCTAGTTTGCGGAAGCTTGATGAACAACCAGAATGGTTGAAAGGGGGAAATCTTCGTGATTATCAGCTTGAGGGCTTGAATTTTCTTGTTAACAGGTAAATTGGACTTCTTTTAGTCCAATCTTATTACCATGAAATTTATGTTCGTTGATTCTGCACCCTTGGCAATATTCTAATTGATGGCCTTTTCATGTCACAGTTGGAGAAATGATACAAATGTTATTCTGGCTGATGAGATGGGTCTTGGTAAAACTGTTCAGTCAGTTTCAATGCTTGGTTTTTTACAGGTAATAATGCTTGCTCTTCTTGTTTCTGCTAGGCTCCTAGACCATGATGTTTCCTCATAAGAATTAATTAGCTCATTCTGACTGCAGAATGTTCAACAAATCCATGGGCCATTTCTTGTTGTTGTTCCGTTGTCCACTTTGTCAAACTGGGCAAAAGAATTTAGGAAGTGGCTTCCTGATATGAACATTGTTGTGTATATTGGAAACCGTGCCAGTCGAGAGGTGAGTTATGACCCATATGTGGGGAGGTTAGTTGTTCTTTGTGATGCATGCATTTTTTAGACTAACATTACAAATAACTGTATTGTATTGTTTTCTGATTATAGTTAAGTTGTTATCTTGCCGATACTTATTTTGTGTATAAAGGGGTATGCCTTTTGGTTTTTCAATTAACCTGATTGTGAGGGGGTTAAGGAAAAATCTTTTCATATTAGTATTAGATGTACATGCATTTCCACACATAAAACTCTCTCTAGCCATATGGGAAAAATGGTCAAGGTGCTGTGATTCCTATCATGTTGGTTGTTTTCTCTTTGAAATAAAAAATATTAACATCTGATATGTTATTTGGTGGATAAATTATCAAAAAATATTTTGTTTGGTGGATAACAAGGATATTAACTAATTGTGAAATGGAAAAAGAAATTTACAATTTGAAACTAGGTCAAACAATAGGCTTCCGTGACAAACTTCAAAGGGCCAATCTACCAAAACAAAGGTGAAAAAGAGCTGGTTAGACTAGTGGGGTGTTGCTAGGAAGATAGAAAAATTATGAGGGAGTTCTTGTGGGAGCTGGTTAGACTAAGGAGATTTGATAAAGCGGGAGGTGGTCTCTTGGAGCTAGGAACAAGGGGGTTTAGGCATTGGTAATATTAGGAAGAGGAATTTAACTTTATTGGGGAAATAGATTTGGAGGTGGCCCCTTGAGCAGGATAGGCTGAGGCATAAGGTGATAGCAAGTATTTGTGGCAGGGAAGCTAATGGATGGGATGCTGGTCTTGACCCTAGGGCTTTTTGTTTGTCCCCTAGAAAGCTATACACGGGACTATTCCTTCCCTTTGTTCTTTCCTCAGGTTTAATGCTTGCTTTGGCCTTGTTCTTTTTGGGAGGGGAGAGTTTTGCTAGGAAAGCTTTGGAAGCCTTTGAAAGGAAGAGGAAGGAAGAAAAGAAATATGGGATGAGGAAGGAGGTTGGAAAGAGTTTGGAGAAGTTGAAGATTAATTTGAGCTTCGTTGGAGCCTATTTGCTTCTGATGTTTTGGTGCAAGTTTGGTTTCATTCGAGCTTTTATCTGTAATGTATTTTAGTTTGGCTGGGAGCTTTTCTGTGGTGTTATCTTAACACCTGTCATTTTGTTGTATTTAGTTTTTTTGTATCTGTACTAAAGTTTCCTTTTATTTATCAAAAAGAAAAAAAAAAGAAACCACCACAAGCTTGTAGAGAACAGAAAGAAAATAAAGTCTGATTTTCATTCTGTTCTCCCTATTGGATAATGAGGGTAGCTTGAGTTACACCCAATTAGGAGAAAACACTGTAACTATGCACCTATTGGTCAATGACTTTGGAACTTCAAAACCAACCCTAAAAATGACCTAACTAATAACTTCCAGTGACTGAATCCCACATCAAAAATATATAAAATAGCAATCCCCAACTCAGAATATAGAAAAGAATTCGAGAAATCAGAAAATTTGTAAACTGAACTTTAGAATCACTTGATGGCCACATCACAAATGGTCTTGTAAACTCTGGGGGTTAGGAGATATTTTTTAGAGGGATGGGGGGGGTAACATAAATAAGGTGGTTCTGAGGCCATTTAAACATCGAATACAAAATAAATTTGGCAACCCTTCCTCCAGTGAGGCCATTTACCAAGAGAGTCATTAGATCTGGGGATCTATCTAACACTTTAATTGAGGTGTTGGGTGTTTACTCTGGATCTCAATTCTGTTGCATACTTGCATCAATATGGTGGCTCTGACATAAGCTGAACAATTCCATCCTTTATCCAGCCAATAAGTACTTGGGAACTATCCTCTACATCAATATTCTGAAATTCTCTTTGGTGTGGGGAATGGGGTTTTAGGGGTCCCTGAATTATTACCAAGTGCCAACATGAGAATAAGAGACAAACATCCTCAAATTTCATTTCTTTTATTGCTTAATTGACTTTGTTTCACGCCTTCAATTACAATTTCTCATATTCTGTACTCCCAAGGAATATGCTGGTCCTGTAGTCCTATTGAGAATTACAAATCCTGAAAGCAACAAAACAACATAATAGATCAATCTGATATTGCTTGAGAATCATGTAATATATGATCAACTAGGTGTCTTTCCAAGTTCCACCTTGTCTTTGATCCATGAGTTGAGGATTCCTTGGATGCACTTGTTGGCTATAAGTAATACTAGCACTCCTTGAAGGCGTTTTGTACTTCTGGGGGTTTGGATGCTGGTACCCTGCATATTCTCGTCTGATCTAATATGGTTTCTGTTCAACCCTTTTTCTTTTTTCTTGTTGTCCTATTTACTGTCGTATCCATTTTTCTTATAAGATAGGTATGGATGGACTTGACTCATTTGTAGATGGATTTTGGTACGGCTTGCTTCCTGAGGATGAGGTTGTGCAGCACCTTGTAGAGAGGAAGGTAGAGGGAAGAGGTGTTGCAACCAGTTGAAAGATCCTCAAGTGTTCAAATTCCATGAGTTGCCTTCATTCAAAAGTCAATCTTTCTTTATGTACTCCAGAAGGGAAGATAATAAAACTATTTTAGAAATATTAGAAGATCTGATCCTACTTGCTACCTAGTAATGGGAGGGAGGGAGGTTTGGTACTGACTGGGAAATCCTCCTTAAATATTCAAACTTCGAATGAAAGTAGTACAACTATTTTTAGAAGGACAAGAAGCTCTCCTACTTCCTACTTAATTAAATAACAATAAAACAAAAAGGGTAAATATCTTCTAGCATAATTCTGCTTCCAGTAAGCTTGGACCCGGCTAAGAGGCTCATTAACCTTGAGTGAAGGAACTTCCCCCACTAACTGTGCTCTAGGGGGATTGGATCAGGCTTTCATCAGAATGTTTATAAGAAAGTGTGCTGTCAGTTTTAGAAATTTTTTTTTATCAGCAAAGGTGATTTTATTAAGAAAAATGAGATGAGAATTAGTACAGAAATTGAGTAGCTTGGGCTACCCCATTAGACTTTAAAGTTTCCACCTAAGATTTTGCTTTACAGCCTTACAACTGAGCCCAAAAACAATGTTCCCTATTAGTCCCTTGCTTCGCTAGCTGGTCCGCAAACCCATTTGCTGCTCTTGGAGTCCACTGAAATAATAACTGCATGTCCTTGGTAATGTGATTAAGTTTCTTGATCTCATTTCTGAACACCCATGGAGTCTTTCCATTCTGCTTTAGCCAGCTTATAATTACTTTGGAATCTTCTTCTACAACCAGCTTTCTCACACCTATTTCCATGGCTTTTTGTATTCCAAAGACCACTGCTTTTAGTTCAGCTGTAATGGAGTCTCCCCATCCAATAGGGCCCAAATACAGCCCCACTACTTTCCCCATGTCATCTCTTATGACCCCACCAATTCCAGCCACACCTGTGTTGCCAAAGCTGCTCCCATCAAAGTTTAATTTGAGGAATTGAGATTCAGGAGGATCCCAATTTCTTAAAACCTTCTTTTTTGCTGATGACGAGCATGCTACAGTCCTCCAGTTCCTGATTATATCATCCGCAGTAAAGTCTGAGAATAATCCCATAGATTTTACCAATGAGATCACTTTTATCATAATCCCTTCTATCAGTAATTCCTTGCACCTTTTCTTTCCTTAAAAATTTCTCAGATTTCTTTCATCCCATAACATCCAAAGCACTGCTGCCCGTGTGCATCTCCACAGAGTTCTTCCTCTTCTTTTTGGCCACCTGAAAGTGGAGGCGTCAATGAAACTGCTCATCATATTTTTGTTTCCTGTCCTGTTGCTAGCTGCATTTGGGTCTGTTTTAGAATTTTGGTAATATCTGGTTTTGTCATTTTGCTATTTCATATTCTCTTAGATGTAACTTGATCATTGGTGTCCTGCTGCAGGTTTGTCAGCAATATGAATTTTATACTAATAAAAATAGTGGCAGGAGTATAAAATTTAACGCCCTTTTGACAACATATGAAGTAGTACTAAAGGATAAAGCTGTCTTGTCAAAAATCAAGTGGAATTATCTTATGGTTGATGAGGCACATAGGCTAAAGAATAGTGAAGCTGCTCTTTACACAACACTTTTGGTATAGTGCCTTTTCCAATATTTGCTTTTCTTAATTTTTTATGTCAAGCTGTTACAAGTATGGCGCATTAATGCTATAGTTAATGTAGTGACTGTGCAATTTGGTTTAAGCAGGAATTTAGTACCAAAAACAAGTTGCTTATAACTGGTACACCTTTACAGAACAGTGTTGAAGAGCTATGGTAATTGTTTGTTCTTTTCTTAATTTTTTTTTTCAATGTAATATAGATAATTTATGTTCATATCAAAGTAGATCCTTTATAATAGTGATAAAATGCTATTGTTAATATCAACTACACCTTTATTCCCAATTCAGTATTTTACTAGTATTTGATGCTCAGCTGCTGATGCTGCTAATCTTTATGCTATTTGTTGTTTATTATCATTCTGCCATATATCTTATGTCATCTGTTGGGAGTTTATTTCTTTTATTTATATGCCTTTTAAATTCTCAATTATTACTGATTTGTATTCTTTTATATTATTGGACTGACCTGGTGTATATATTTTTGGTCTTTATACGTCCTTTGTTTTCAGATTGATATAAATAATGTAAATGGACGGGAAAACAAATTATACCTGTGTACTTGATTACTTGCATAAAGGAAGAGGGTTGTGTCAGGTTGGAAGACAGCATTAAACTTTTGCCAAATTCATATGGTCATGGGTCCTAGTTTGTCTTTTCATGCTAGGACATTTACACTACTCATGATTTAACAATGAATATGACACTAAAAAGAATGAAATAGCAAAAAGGATTCATATGGCTGACCTCTTATAGTTCGGATAAGGCTTAGATGCAGATGGTGACTGGCATATAATTTTCCTTGTTAATAACCAATAAGAATGATTGATACTGATGAAAAATTTAGTAATTGAGCTAATATGTTATTGCATCTATTTTTTTTTTGAAAGATAAAAAGAAATTCATTAAAAAGAAAAAGAGAATAGAAATAGGATGGTGATAAGGATATAAGGTATCACCTGAGAGAGAGTGAGAAATACACTGAGACACAACTTACAACCAAAGACCTCAAACTATAGAACTCTAACAGAGACAAAGACCGAATAACAACTCCACCTGCTCTGAAGCCAAGCACCACCATGAATGGCCAACTCCCTAATCCTCCCACTTGAACACTTCGTCCTGCCCATCATCATCCTCATTTCAAATCTCTCCTGCTATTGCAACTTTCTTCATCCTCTCTTCTTTCTTCCTCTTAAATTCCTCAAAGGCCTATTGATCCAAAAAAAAAATCCTCATAGGCCTTACTAGTAAACACTCCCCCCCCAGGCTTTTCCCAAATCCCAACCACTGCATTTTTCTCAGCAATTTGAGAAAATTCTCAATAGGTAGACTTCCAGAAGTCTCCACCTTTTTTCCAGGGCTTCTATCCAGATCTCTCACAGCAGACATGAAATAAGTTTCACTGTTCTTTGCCTGCTGAGAATTCCCCAACTGAAAATTTGATTTAGTGATAACCTGAGAGTCATCCCCACCATCAACTTTGATTGTTGGCACATTTATCTTCGGGTCCTGCCAACACCAAACCAAGCTTCAACCAAGAGAAAACTTTAGTAATGTGAATAGTGTGCAGATTCCTAGCTCCATGTGATTTCTTGGAGGCCACCACTTCAGCTGTTTCCAAACATTTCTCTACCACCGCCCTACCCAAATTCACACCTATTCTTTCAATTAATACTTCCTCAAATAGACGATGGAACGATGCTCAGCATCATTGCACTCAACTTGGTAGAGTCACAACAATCCACTTCATTGTCACCACTTTCATCTTCACCACCTCCCAGAATACTTCCAGCATCAACACCCCCTCCCCCTGTCACAACTTCCTTCGGTCTCTCTCCCAACCCAATCTTCTCTACTTTTAGAACTTCCTAGAAGCACTAACCTGAATCTCTTCAGTGTCAAAGATAACACAGCCTGATCTGTTACTATATAAGCCATCTTATGAGTTCCCGCATCAGACACCAAAGCAGGCTCACCCATGTTTCAATCACAATATACCGGGGCAGAATCAACACAACCACAACTTCACTCAGCTTCACAATCAACGTGCACCACCTTATCTTTCGTGATGACCTTCTTTTCTTCATTTCTAATGTAGTTGAAAATCACCTGCTCCCCTTGACCTTTCTTCCCCCTTTGATCCTTACCCGAAATAGGCCTGCTAGAAGTCCCATGCCTTTTCACCCTTGTGGGTTTGAAAAAGTAGGTATTCCCTCTAACAACTGGTTCGGCTTCCTTAGACCATTAAACTTGATTTTCGAAGAGTGGACCCCACTCACGCCAGTAACCAGCCTCTATGCCATTAATAACATTAAAGTAGGATGTGTAGTGATTCTATATGTTTAGTTACAGAATATTATGCCATAAATTCATGCCTGAGCCTTTATTGTTTATGTATATATAAATTCATGCCTGAGCTTTTATTGTACTTAATGCTTATTTCTTTATTTTTTTCTTCTTTGATAAATCAGGGCTTTGCTTCATTTTCTTGATTCTGAAAAGTTCAACAATAGGGAAGAGTTTGTTTTTCGTTACAAGAATTTAAGCTCCTTTAATGAAACTGAGGTATAGTCCTTGGCTATTTACTACATGTTCACTTCATTTCTGCCTAGCGCCTATTTTGTGAGAGATCAGATCTGGCTGGTCCTTTTGTTTTCTTTTTTAACCACTTAATTCTGGGTTCTTTTTTGTTCAGCTTACTAATCTACATAAGGAACTGAGGCCTCACATTCTAAGAAGAATTATCAAGGATGTTGAGAAGTCTTTGCCACCAAAAATTGAACGCATCCTTAGGGTTGAAATGTCCCCCCTTCAGAAACAGTAAATACTAAACTTTTAATGCTCCTCTGCTTTTGTTACCATATTGTTCTTGCTAATTTTAAATGACTTTCGGCACTTCTGGTGTTCATTATCTTCATTTAGGTATTATAAGTGGATTTTGGAACGTAACTTCCACAGCTTGAACAAAGGAGTCCGTGGGAAACAGGTTTTTTTTTTTTTTATTTAAATGTTTTACATAGAATTGTCTGTTTTTTAAATCTTTAGACATAAAGTCCATTAGAAGTCCAACTTACTTGCTTTTTTTACCATTTACCATGCAACATAAGCTGATATGCCACTTTAGGTGGATAAATTTGTGTATTCTTCTCTCTGACTACCAAGAAGAACCAAAATGAAAATTAAGTGGAAGAATTTAATTTTGGCATGAAAAGAATACGTTTCCTTTTATTGTACTGCCTGACTTGTTTATTATTGGTCCCTGCTTAACTGTTACTTGATATGGATTATTTCTCCCAAACTTGCAGGTTTCTCTTTTAAATATTGTTGCGGAGTTGAAGAAATGCTGCAATCATCCTTTTCTATTTGAAAGTGCTGACCATGGTTATGGTGGGGACAGCACCATCGATGATAGCAGTAAACTTGAGCGTATCATCTTAAGCAGTGGAAAGCTTGTGATACTTGATAAGTTGTTAGTACGATTGCGTGAGACAAATCATCGTGTTCTAATATTTTCACAGGTTTGTTCAGATTGTTTTTTGGTGAAGGTACTTGGACATGCATTTTTCTGTTAGAGATTGTCATTGTGCTTTATATGCAACCTTATTCCCCACTTTAATTTCCATTTGCTTATGTATGGAATTAGTCTCCCTTTTGCTTGCCATTGGCCCAGATATTGTGAAGTTCTATTAGGATTTGTTGTTTGTGTAGTAATGCTTGACTGATCTTCTAGCTGGTTTGTTATCCGTATGTTGTTTTGTTAGCTAAAACTAACTTTGGTGACAAGATGATAATCCTTATTTTTCTTCACTGATATTGATCATGTAGAAATCACCAAGTCTTCCTCTCACTAATCATGTTGTGCAGATGGTTAGGATGTTGGATATTCTGGCTGAATATTTGTCGCTAAGAGGTTTCCAGTTTCAAAGACTAGATGGTAGTACAAGAGCTGATCTACGCCACCAGGCTATGGAGCATTTTAATGCTCCAGGAAGTGATGATTTTTGTTTCCTTTTGTCAACTCGTGCTGGTGGGCTAGGAATCAATCTTGCCACAGCAGACACTGTTATAATATTTGATTCAGATTGGAATCCCCAAAATGATTTACAGGTTTGCGATGGGACTCTCCACTCTTTTATATATAGCATGCTGTCAGAAAATTAATTTTGATAAACTATGTGATTCTACTAATCGTTTTAAGTTTAGATTTATAGAAATTGTTGAACTTGGAACTAGCTCAATTTCTGGGATCACGCATAGCTTTATTTTTTGTATTTTGACAATGAAATTATCTTCCATATGTTAGTTACATGGTTCTACATTTGTTTGCTAGGCAATGAGTAGAGCTCATAGAATTGGACAGCAAGAAGTTGTTAACACTTACCGGTTTGTTACAAGCAAAAGCGTTGAGGAAGATATTCTAGAGCGTGCAAAGAAGAAAATGGTAATTAATATTCATTTTTTGTGTGATGTGAGTGATTTTATCATTTGTAAAAAATAATTAAATATGTTCATCTGACATACATCACACATATACTACTATTCCTGGTTTTATTATGATAAATGTATTTTTTTATGACTTGTATTGTGCTACTACATCCTTATATTGATGCATATTCTTATGTTTATATACATGTTATATAGGTTCTAGACCACTTGGTCATTCAGAAATTAAATGCAGAGGGTAGACTGGAGAAGAAAGAAACCAAAAAGGGGAGTTCCATGTTTGACAAGGTAAGGATGATAGGGTATGCTTTTTAGATTAGCTTTTCTGGATGTGTATTTAATACACATAGGTTGTTTTAAGATTTAATACTATTAGTCAGTATTTTCAGAGTGAAGATGTTCGTTTTTTTACATCCTCTTTATAACTTTTAATGGGTCCAATTGTTGCATTCTCTTACAGCTATATTATTGACATATTTTGGTTCCTTTGAATGTGTTTCCTACTTCCAGAATGAGCTCTCAGCGATTCTGAGGTTTGGGGCAGAGGAACTCTTTAAGGAAGACAAAAATGATGAAGAAAGTAAGAAGAGACTGTTAAGTATGGATATTGATGAGATTCTTGAGAGAGCTGAGAAGGTTGAAGAGAAGGGGGCTGAAGTAGAGCAAGGAAATGAATTGCTAAGTGCTTTTAAGGCAAGAATATTACACACATTTTTGATGAATAATATGGTTTGGTAGGACAATGTGTTTGATATTTGAATCATTGATATAGGCATAGCCCAAACTTGTTTCTCTAACATGTTCTTTTGTGCTTGTCATTCCATCCAGGTTGCTAATTTTTGCAGTGCTGAAGATGATGCAACATTTTGGAGTCGTATGATTCAACCAGAAGCAGTAGCACACGCTGAAGTATGGACTCTTTACATTGAATATGATATTCCATAAAAATCCAGGCGCCTATTTATGTTCATGTTTCTTATATTATTTATTTCTTGTTTCTATTATTAATTCCCAATTTCATGTAAAGGGTTTTTTCTAGTGTTTTTTTTTTTTTACTCAAGTTATCTGCCCCATTTGAAATACAGGAGGCTTTAGCTCCTCGTGCTGCAAGAAATACCAAGAGCTATGCAGAAGCTAACCAACCTGAGAAAAGTACCAAGAGGAAAAAGAGGGGCATTGAATCTCAGGATAGAGTCCAGAAGCGCCGCAAAGCTGATTCATCAGTATATTCTGCACCATTGATTGAGGGGGCAGCAGCTCAAGTAAGGAGATGGTCTTGTGGGAACTTGTCAAAGAAAGATGCTGCTCTATTTGCACGTGCGGTAATATAATGTTTTTATCCCTAGCATATTATTTAATGGCATCCTTTGCCCTACACTGTGTTTCTCTAATATAGCCATGCGAGATGCTTTTGAAGTCGAGCAATTAATTTATGAATCATGAAATAGTTTACTTTGATGTCTATTTTTATTTGTTTTCTCCATTTTATATTCTTAAATTTTAGTAGGTGAGGCTGTAAGCTTATTAACCATACACGAAGTTTGTGGCAACAAAGTTACCTCCTATTACTCTGTTTATGTCATTGATTCTTAAGCTTGGACCTTTTTCTCCTTGATTGGTTGCTGCTTTTTAGGAAAAGTAAATGATAAACGAGATGGACTAGGTGAGAGGCTGTATGCTTCTGCAATGCATATTAACAGAAAGACAACTTATTTCCTAATCTATGAAATTACTTGTATGGTTTTATCAATGATTTTTTTTTTAATCTGGTTCTCTATTAACCATTTTATCTTGTAACATGTACTTGAGTTGGGATGTTGTTCATACATGTTTAATTGCTTTGAATATGGATAGAGACGGGCAAGCTTTTTATTTGCATGAATTGTGGCATTTCTGTGAAATTTCAATGATTGTTTATGACTGCCATATTTGCTATTATATGATATTAATTACTTTAATGTATTATTTTTCACTACTTTAGCATATTTTTCATTATCTTATATCTATTGTTCTTTAAACTATGTTCAAAACAAATATGTATATACAGGAGAAAAAGTTCCTTGATTGGGACAAGTATGGGGCTTTCCCACAGGACCTGGCTTATTTCTATTGTGCATAGGGTTGATGTGGTTGATCCAAGCCAACCGTTAGATAGGGGACCCTCTAGAGATCCATATTTACTCCCCACTATTAACATCAGTGCTTGACCTTGTTTTGATATTTAACCTGAACTACATGGATGCTCATGCTAATATTTTTATTTAAAACCTGCCTACATGAGGTGAATTATTGTTGATATGTTGCTAGGACTTTTGAGCTGAAACTGAAACTTTTCCCACAAATTGAGGATTCAACAAGCAAAAGTATTCCCTTATAATAGAGGATTTGCCCACATAAGTTGGGAAATTCTTACAGATGAGTTTCTTTGAGGTTTACAGTTCTATAATGATATGACTAATAAAACCATTCCCATATATATTTGTCTATAACTATTTTATTGAGTTATTTGGTTTTGGTTTCAATGAAACTATGAAAATTTTATTGTAGTTTTGCCTGGTAAATGGTGATTCCTTTCGTTGAATTTTGATAAAGTTTGAAATTGCAGAATTGTATCATAGTTGTAGTGGTGGAGACAATCCAACTACTTTGAAGATAATCCACTTCTTCACTTTTATCTTCGAAATTCTGATAAAAAAGTGTCTTCATATTGGTAGTAAAAACAGCTCTGATGAGCACGACATTGCACTTATTTAGATCTCAACAAGTCAAGTGTTGTTTTTGTTGGGATTGAAATCCCTTTTTAACAGTGTGCAAATCAATAATGTAAATAACAAATAATAGCCAAAGAGAAAAATAATCAAACACCACAAGAGAGATAGCACACCAGAATTTTTAACATGGAAAAACCTTCCAATATGAAGAGTAAAAACCACGGGGCACTAACCCGGAATTTTTCCACTATCAACAAGATTAATGGGAATTACAACTACTCCAATTCCAACTAGAGAATAGCAACTTCAAGAGACAAGAACCTCTCTTGAATATAAGAAAACAGTCATCAAACGAGACATATTTCAATCAACAAAACATGAGAAAGATCTCACCAAACAAGCTGCCCAAATCCTCTCCAAAACCACTGTTGAAGAGCCAAGAAACCCACCAAAATCCTTGGTGAAAAAGAGTAAAACAGCAGCCACAATGGTTGATTGAATATGTTCTTGTTCACGTACCAAGTAGTTTGAATCCTTCTTCTCTTGTAAAAGATGATTTTTTGCCCACTCTCTTCTCTCTCTCTCTTTTTTTTTCAAAGAGGATACCAACTAGAGTGTCTAAAATGCCAAGAAACTCTTCTCACCAAGACAAAATGAGGCTTGTAGAGAAAGCCAAGGATAGTGGAGAGTGGGTCCCACCATCTACTAACATGAAACAAGACACGGCAATTTGTCTCTCTCTTTCCATCTTTCTCAAGTTACGTGTTGGACAAGAAACCCAACAAATCTCCCCCTCCCGACTCATGAGGAGTGTGCAACTCACAAGAAACCCAACATTATGTGTTGGACACGGCAATTTGTCTCTCTTTCCATCATATCTGAGCCATTCTTGTCGGTATGGATATTTTCTAGTTGCACTAACTTTTGCTCTAACACATCTCTAATCCAATGGTATCTCACATCAACCACTTGGTTTTGTTTGGTATAGTGAGTATTTTTGCATTATTAGTTCCGATTAATAAGCTGTTGTTAACTGTTGTGTTGTCATCATAACCTTTGAGTACTTTGCATGTACGTACAAAGTATAATTACAGCTCTGACCTTTTTGTAACTTAGGTTAAGAAGTTTGGGAATCAGAGCCAAATTAGCTCAATAGTGGCGGAAGTTGGTGGTACTATTGAAGCAGCTCCTTATGATGCACAGATTGAGCTGTTCGATGCATTTATTGATGGTTGTAGAGATGCAGTTAAAGGAGGGAATCTGGATCCAAAGGTAGGCACTTTGGCACGAGATTGCATTTCCTACCCATAAGAGCTCAACCCACACTTACCCACATGACATCATGTCCACACATAGGGAACATCTCCTGTACTTGTATGTTATTGTGCACAGGGGGATGTTCCCAATTCACAGGTTTAGTGTTTTGTGGGTAGGCACTTTAGCACGAGCTTGGATTTCCTACCCATAAGAGCTCTACCCACACTTACCCACATGACATCACATCCACACATAGGGAACATCTCCTGTACTTGTATGTTATTGTGCATGGGGGGATGTTCCCAATTCACAGGTGTAGTGTTTTGTGGGTAGGTGTGGGTAGACTTCTTGTGGGTAGGAGATCCGGAGTCCTTTGGCACTTAATGGGAAATTGCATTCATGAATACTATATTTGGAAGTTGTTATTTGATGTATTTGTGTCAAGAATTGATCTATTTAGCTCTGTAATTTTGTAAGTTTAAAGTTCCACGTGATTTTGCCTAGGGGACTCTCTTGGATTTTTTTGGTGTTCCTGTAAAGGCACATGAGGTACTAGATCGTGTACAAGAACTTCAGCTCCTAGCAAAGCGCATAAAAAGGTACCAAGATCCAGTTGCACAGTTTCGATTGCTAATGCACTTTAGGGGACCCCAGTGGTCTAAAGCTTGTGCCTGGAATCAAGGTAGAGACTAAAGCCCCTTCTGCTGCTATTATTGTTGTTGTTGTTATGATAGTGTTGATGATATTGTCATTTATTTTTTCATTTTTGTAGTTATTTTGCTGCTGTTATCTAATGCAATTTTCTTTGGTGGAACTCTTGGTAGTTGATGATGCTAGGTTGCTTTTAGGAATACATTACCATGGATTTGGAAACTGGCAAAAAATAAGGTTGGATCCAAGGCTTGGCCTTACAAAGAAGATTGCACCTCCAGAACTTGGAGATGGTGAAACTTTTTTACCACGTGCACCTAACTTGGACTCGCGTGCTTCTGCACTTTTGAAAAAGGTTTGCTACTTTGTATTCACAATCATGTTAAGTTTCTATTTATACTGGTACAGTGCTCTATCTAAATCAAGGCTGGTCAACTTTCCGGTTCTTGGTCTGTATTGTTATTTAAAGTAATGCCAGCATGCAAGATTTTAAGCCTAGCATTGGTTGTCAGAACTGAGAAAGCGATACATATTTACAAGTTACAACCAGTAATGTGGTTTATCATCATATCCCTCAATATCAGTGTCTTTCTTTGTGGGACAGGCAGATGATTAACATGGCTTGTATGTTAGAGTATTGTATGACTTAGTTATCTGAGTTTCTTCACCTAGATTTTAGTGCTCTTTGTTATGATCTTGACTAATTTTTTTCATTATCCAAAAAAGTATTTACTATGGATGGAATTACCAGATACTTGTATATTGGCATAACTACAATTTTATAAAAATAAATAATTTTTTATGCCAAGTAACTTAGAAATAAATGCAATTTGTTTGTTCTATAAACCCTACATGGTTCTTTTCCTTGAAAAAAAGTACAATTTCTTTTAGTAAAAGAAGACAAATCATTCACATGGGCTAATGTACATAACATTTATAAAGAATTTTAGTGAAACTGCATACTGGAACAAAAATTAGGGAGTGCAGAGGCGTTGCTATACAAAAAGACCCTTCCTACTCCCCTCTAAGCTAAATTCTTTAATGCCTGAATATGGATACTGATGTGGACACATAACAATGCGGATAAAGTTCTCAATTTCCTAAGATTCTGGGCATAGATTTGGTTTAGTTATCCCATTCATTATGCGAATATTGTGTTTTTGTGTCTAGTTTGTGAAGCTGAGTGCCATTTTTGAATTCCTATAGGTTGCCAAATTTGACTGAACTTCTAACGTGTACAATTTTTGGTATAATTTCTTGAAACATAAAATGTGTTGTATTGAGTATGTAATATGTTGAACATTACTATGCTATTAGATGTGCTGTGCAAGCAGGATTAGCATGCTCTGTGAGCAAGATTCAGAAAGTGCTATTATATGCACTCTCTTAGTATATGGACATTTTTAATACCTATGCCTCTTTTGCTTGTACTCAGCAATTCTTGGCTCAGTGAGCAAAACCATATTTAAGAGGCTCCATCGTATTAGGACACTGAAACCATATTTTGTCTACTGATACTGAGAACACTGCCAACCAAAGTTGATATTTGGCATGGCAAAGCTATCATATTGAGTAATGTATAAATGTTTCACAGTCTTAAATGCTTTCGGTATTGGTGGTTTCTTTGTGGGCCTTCCAACTTCTGAGGTTCCTCCTTTACATTTGCAAATATCTGATACTAACTCAACTCAGCGAAGTCTTGTCGCTTGTTGGGTCTGTTATGTAAATTCTGTTCCACCATTCAGAGAGTAAGAAGACAATTAAAAGATTTTAAAGGCATAGCACGTGGAGACCTCTGCCATCCACATGAAGCTTTACATTTCACAGATATAAATTTGATTAATGTTGGGTCTGTTATGTAAATTCTGTGATTAATGTAAATTTGAAGAATATTTCCTGTTTTTATAGGATTAGCAAAAAAGAAAAGATTTTTTGTAGGCAGTTTTATGAAAAAAATTATGTGCTTAATAAATAGCCATATTATATATGAGGCTTTGGTGATTATGTCTTTACTTGATATTAGAAGTTTCTACATTGACATGTAGGCACATGTACTGATTATTGAGTTGCTTGTTATACCAGGAATTTGCAGCTGTTGGTGGAAAGAATTCAAAGGCTAAAGCAGGACCTAAGGGTTCTAAAACTGAAGGGGACAATATTCTAAAAATTTCAAAAACTCACTTCAGGGACGTGAAAGGAAAATCAAGTTCACCCAAATCTAACATCCGTGCAAACAAAGACACACCTCAGAAACATCAAAAAGTTGAACCTATTGCCAAGGAGGAGGGAGAGATGTCTGATACTGAGCTGTATCAGCAGTTCAAGGAAGAAAAATGGATGGAGTGGTGTGCAGATGTCATGATTGATGAGCAAAAGACACTGAAACGTCTTCAGAGGTTGCAATATACCAGTGCAGATCTTCCCAAGGAAAAGGTTAATTCTTGTTAGTTGCATATTTTATTGTATTACTGTTTTCACATTTTAGCATGATATTATAACTTTTTATTTGTTCAGGTGCTTTCCAAAATTCGGAATTATCTACAACTTCTTGGCAGAAAGATAGATGAAATTGTACAGGAACACGAGGAGTCATATAAGCAATCTAGTATGTAAATAGTTCTCATCCTCTTACATTCTTTCACAGTTGACTTTGGTGCTAAACGATTTAATCATACATGCTTGTTTACCTTTATCATAGTAGTTCGATTATTATTGTTGATCGAGTTAAAGTGTGCTTTCCATGTCTCTCAGCTCCAAACAAGTAGACCAACTTAATGGAGATTCTTTTTGTTTACAGGGATGACTATGCGATTGTGGAATTATGTTTCCTCCTTTTCTAATTTGTCTGGTGAGAGACTGCATCAGATTTATTCTAAACTTAAACAGGAGCAGAATGCTGTGGCAGCGGTGGGGCCCTCCCACCTCAATGGTTCTGTTTCTGGCCCCATGGACAGAGATAGTGATCCCAGTCAGTGCCCCTCGTTCAGCCACAGTAATGATAAGCCTAGAGGGTACAAGAAGTTTACATCGCACCAACCTTCAGAAGCATTTCACAAAGAGCAGGATACTGGAAAGTCAGAAGCTTGGAAACGGAGAAGAAGAAATGATGTTAATGTCCAGTCCTCGTACCAACCTCTCAGCAATGGTAATCGGTTACATCAATCAAATGCTTCTGGAATTCTTGGGCGGGGCCCGACAGACAGTAGATACTTTGGTGGTGAGAGACGCCAGACTCGTTTCCCTGCTGGGCAAAGTCGACCATCAGATATCAAATAGTCTTACCAAACCTTACACAGCAGTACTGGTCAAAGCAGTGGTGAAGCCAATTGGCTTTCACCAGGGGGCATTTGCTACTTCAGCCATTAATTGCGTTTAGTTGGGAATTCTTTTTTCACCCACAGGAATAAAAGTTGGCAGATTCCACTGTGGGATTGGGTGCTGATCTAAAAAAGCTCTTATCCAATGGATGGAAACTGCATTGTTAACAGCGAGCAAGGAAAAAGTGCTGAGATCCTCTAGTAGTGCGGGAAGAGCAGGGTGCATGGATTCTTTCTATATTCTTTTTTTTTGAAAGATGAGATCAGTGTCTTGGTTACATATACAGTGATGAAGTGCCAAAGAATTTACTTCTCACATTGTCAAATACAACCATATAGAGATGCCATATGTAAACAGCTTTTAGGATATCCGGCTTACAATATTCAGCTTCTGGATAGTAGATTTCTTAACCTCTTATTTCCCTCCATGCATAGTGTCAGCTCTCTCCATTAAAACGCTGTACACTTTTCTCTGCTGATGTACTTTGTAATTTTGAAAATGAAAAAAATAGGGTTTTATTTTTAATTCCCATTGGAAATATGGCAAGTCAATTTGTAAGACGTCTACATCTGTTCATGCTATCTGTTTTTTAGGCCAGAAGTAGTTTATATTCCTGTATTTGATTTTGATGCAAGACTCCTTCGGAGAGTTGGGTCTTGCAGTATGTGGTCAATGGAAATATGGAGAAAGCTCGTTGTTCAAAGACTGGGTCTGGAGTGTCAAAAGTATTATTATGGTTATGATGGTTCACTATGTCGTATTTGTATAGTGATCTCGGATGTTGGGTTGGGCTAATGAATGTTTTGAAGATGTTCCCAAATTGTGACATGCTTTGTGGATTTGACTGGAGTTTGTCCAATACAGGGTTCTTTACTGGTGATGTCGTGTGAAGTCTCTTATATACCATGGTATTGAGTATGGGACTCTAGAGACTGTAGTCCCGCCTTTCCTAGCAAGGGGGTCAAGTAAGAGAACTGGAATTTTATCTTTTGATTCTTGATGTCTTCCTATTCCATTACCAGCACCGAAATTCTCTCTTTTATCTTTTATATGTTTTGTTGTTAATATATCCTTTTTGTTTGTCTTTCTTTATCTTTTTAATTTCTTATATTATGTTAGTAAAACTGATTATACGACTTTCTGCAAAATCTTAGCCCTCAAGATGGCCACTTGTCTAACTTTATTTAGTAGCTCGTCTTGTCACCATGAGTTTCACCATATTTGCGAGACAATTAGGGCAAGGTTGAAAATATCGTTACACCTGATACATCGATAGTTTTTTTTAGCTTCTTTAGTTTTTTTTCCAAATCCGGTTCAGGGGGCTCTGTTTAAGGTCCCGTCCACCCCCTGAACTGGTTAAAACTCCGATACACCCTCTGTAAAGGTGTATTAGGAAGCTCTCGATATGATATGTATCGGCTGATATGTATTGATATTTTGAACCTTGAATTAAGGATAGCAACGAGGTGGCTTTGGGGATGGTTTTGTAAATTATAGACCTTACCCGTTCACAAACCTATACCTTCTCAAAATCTGCAGTGGGTTGGATTTTCAAAATCAAAACCTTCCCTTATGAAAATGCAAAATCCCAAACCTTTGCTGTATATTAAAATTCAAAATCCCCCGACTTTGAGGGTGAGCTGGGTTGGGTTGGTGGATTTGGTTTATAACTCCATCTAAGTTAACACACATAAAAATTTCTAATATTTGATTATAATATATAATAAACTACCAATTATCCTTCTCATACATTTTAAAATATTATTAAATTCAATACCTAATACATAAGTTCACATTGCCTTCCAACAATATGCAGGTTGGGAGAGTGAAATTTAGCCAAATACTATACCTTAATTGTACTTGTATAGAGACGATGAATTCTTGGAGTTCTGTTGCATAGAGCTTTGGTTGCTGGTTGCTACAATCTAGTAGCCCCCTTTCTTTCGGGATAGATGCTTTTGGGATTCAAACGAATTGAATTAGGATAAAGGTATTTATAAGAATCCAATCTGATAAGAAACCAGGGGAGTTGAATTCCATCGTAAAACATAGAGTTGAATTAGATCATAAATTGGTAGGGTTGTCAATGGGTTGGAGTTCAACCCAATGGACCCAAACCGGTAGGATCGATTCTGGTTCTAAGATATGGTATTAATGGGTCGACTTTGGTTTTTGATTTATTATCTTGATTATTATTGGTTTGAAATCGGTTCTACCAAGTCTTAAATCGACTCAGATCCGATCCAAACAATATAGTTATATATATTAAACTTATAATATTTTCAATAGATTTATTATGATTAAGTTCATTGGATCAGACCTAATTGTCTTGAGAATCGATTGATTCGATATTGAATCTAAAATTGTAAACCCTATAAGATTTGTTTCGGTTTCGATTCCTTAATATTTAGATTGGATTCCCAAATAGGCATTCACACAGGATGTTTTTTTTGGGAGTCTTCCCTTCTTTTTTTTGGTAATCTTTTTTACGACCATCAATAGGGGTGTCAATGTGTCAAACTGTCAATTTAAATGGTAAACCTAGCTTGATTTGACCCTATAGATTGGGTTCGGGGCTAATCAGTTGGGTTAGGGTTTTAGAAGTCTGATTTGCTTCAATCTATTAGGTCATAATACCTTATTATTACCTCCTACTTGTAGAGGGTATCGTTGTAATTTTGTACGGTCTAACCCCATAATCCAGGTAGAGACAGATCCGTGTCGAACCCGACGGATTGACATCCCTACCCACACCAACCCAAAATCCTAAGCCAGATTCTTGGCGCCTTGGCCCTTGGCGGTGGCTGGGTTTTCCGTGTTGACTTGACCCGCCAATCCGGTCCGCTCTTATTACGTTTTTATTTTCTTTTAATCTCTGTTATTACTTCAACCAATACTCAGAAGTTGGAAGGCAGAGACATATAGAAGGCGCCGGCGCCGCAGATGCTTCATCGTAAGTAATGTATGAAAGCTTTATTCAGCTCTGACTCTGATAGGTTTTGCTTCACCGGTTCGAGCTTCTCAAGTAGTCAGAGGAAGTTGTTTCACGGTTTCAGAGGAGTTTGCGAGTATGTTGCGTAGAAATATACGACTGAGGAGAGAGTACCTCTACAGGAAGAGCTTGGAAGGGAAAGAGCGACTGTTGTATGAGAAGAAGCGAAAGATAAAAGAAGCTTTAGAAGGTTTGATTTCCCATCTTCTTGTCCCCCCCTCTCTTCCTCCCTGGTTTCTTTCTTTCTTTTCTTTTTTTACTTTGTCTATTTTTTTGTTTATATACAGCATTTCGTTAACAAATGTTATCTTATTTTGGTTTGGCAGAGGGAAAGCCTATCCCTACTGAGCTCAGAAACGAAGAGGCTGCATTGCGCCAAGAGATTGATCTTGAGGATGAACAGACTGCAGGTCAGTCTTTTCTTTCCTCCCTTTTCTAGGATTTAAAATTAATATGTTTGCTTGTAACTTTTCGATTTGCTTCATGTGTGAGGATAATGCAATTCATATACCTGTTCCTTTTTTTTAATCAATAACTGTGAATTGTATTAATATTGTTAAAAGTTACATTGCAAGGGAGCTAAACAATCTTAGCTCCCAAGAGCAACCATTGAACACCAAAAAACGATTACAATACAGCCCAAAATATAGAATTTCTGTTCACCCCTTGTCTAGCTAGACCATCTGCCAATGAGTACTCACTTCTTTTTACCCATTTGTATTGAATTTCCATGTCCTTAGCCAGTCATTTAAATTTCCTCTTCTAATTGCTGTAATTCCAAAGCCTAGAGTTATCATCTTTTAGCCAGTTTACCACCACTTCAGAATCTCCTTCTGTGACCAGCTTGTTAATATGCATATCCTTGATCCTTTGTACCCTTCAAGAGCTGCAAGTATCTCAGCCCTCAAAGAATCTCCCACCCCTACTGGTCCAGAAAACATAGCTAACAAATTCCCTTGTTCATCTCTTATTACTCCCCATATTCCGGATGGCCTTGGATTACCCATGCTGCTGCCATCAAAGTTCAGTTTGGTAAAGCCATGAGGTGGAGGGAGCCAACAAGAGTTTGAGGCCTTCCTTATTGGAGCAAGTTCTGTTATCTCTTTCCATTTTCTTTGCAACTCATCAACTGAGAATTCTGCAAACAAAGCCAAGGTTTTCTACCAGTGTATAACCCTAATATGGATGGCATCCCATATTGCTTCCAAACTTCTCTCCTTATCTGAGAAGATCCGTGAATTTCTCTCCTCCCAAATAGTCCAACAGACTGCAGCCCTCATACACTTCCACATAATCTTGGCCCTTTTTGTTGGCCAATTCAGCATAGAAGTGAATAAGCTTTGCACATTTGAAGGGGGGGGGGTCCACTTGCACCCAAACAAAGAAGTACACCATTCCCAAATGACTTTAGTAAACCGACAGGAAATTAGTAAATGATATCTAGACTCACCATCAGCTTTACAGAAAACACACTAATGAGGACAGAAACAACTATTGGGTCTTTTTCTTTGAAGTAAATCTACTGTATTAACTCTTTTCAGAAAGGCTTCCCAACAGAAACTCCCAACCTTAGGAGGTATAGGATGACACCAAACCTCTTTAACAGGGAATGACAAACTAGAAGAAGGGGATTGTGTTAGAGCTTTAAAGAAAGAGGCACAAGTGAAAGAACCCAAGGGAGTGAGTGTCCAAATCCTATTGTCTGCTTTTGTTGGCTCTAGGAAAACCCCTTCAAGAATGGATAATAAGGATAAAATACAAGCAAGCTCTGTGTCCTTGATATCTCTTATCAGGCCCAAGTTCCAGTTGACCCCAGAAGCAGAATTTGAAGGAACAAGGAATGAGGGAACCGATTCATTTTTAAAAGTGGAAAGAGCAAAAAGGCTCGGGAGTTGGTCTTTTAAGGAAGAATCCCCAATCCAAACATGTTCCCAAAAATTAATGAGATTGCCTAAGTGCAAGTCATACCTGATCCATGAAGAGAACAATGGCAGAATAATTTGGATAGCTTTCCAGGGAGATGCTCTTGTAGTCCTTGCCAGAATCCCAGAATCCCATCCATTGTTTGCAACCTCATAAATACTAGCCACTCTCTTCACCCAAAGTTTGTCCTTCACCAATGAGAATCTCCATAGCCATTTCCCTAGTAGTGCCAAGTTCCTATTCCTTATGTTTCCAATACCCAAACCTCCCTCCCTCTTGCTCCTACAAACCATCTCCCACCTCACCCTATGGTCCTTCTCTCCCCCGGCTCCCAGAGAAAGTCTCTCATTAGTTTTTCTAATCTGCTAGCCACCCTAACCGGAATCTTAGTTGTGCTGGTTGTTCTGGTAGGATCCTTTTCTGAACTTGTAGGTTATAATGGTATGCCCTGCCTTGTAAATATACCTATAAGGTTTACATGCAGCTGATGTCAAACTTCCACTTTGCATATATACATAACTTATGCCTAAGTTTGTCCGCTTATCAAATATATACATGTGCATAAATTTGTTGTTTGTCAAATTTATACATTAACACAAACAATTATTTTACATGTTTACAAAAACTGGTATGAACATGCATGTGTTGGAGTAATCTGGCAAGACATTTTGGAGAACTAGTTCCTCTATTCTGGCTGTTGCCTTATACGTAGCATTATTAACGCTTAATTGTCTCATTAGCTGAAAAGTGGCTTTTCTTGGAATCTTATCATTGTCATTATCATCCATGCCTTATCCCAACTATATGGGGTAGGGTTTGCTCATATCATGAGAGTCCGGCAAAAGTTTTAGTGCTGGCTGCCGACCTGACACACCCTCCTCCTTTATCTGGGCTTGGGACCGGCAGTGTAAGACAAGCTTACATTGATGGAGTTGGCTTTTCTTGGAATCTATCTTATGTATTTAGTGGAACCTATCTTATACTCTTACTGAAATCTGAATAGCCAAGAATTTAGACATCTCGAATTTGACCATTGAAGGAGACTCTGTAAATGCAATAAACTGGTTAGGAACAAAAGAAAGTGGGCCTTGGAGGTTGGCTCATTTCCTGAATCAGGCTAGGGACATCTTAGAAAATTTAATTTTGGTAACATAGGTGCCACCTTTCTCAGAATGCAAAATCCACTTGTTTTTGTGTGCTTTCCATTGCTAGACCAAGTCGAATGGGAAGCTAGTTTTGTTTTTTTTTTTTTTTGATTTTTTTCTTTTCTGTGACTACCTTTGGTTGTGTAATTTCTCTTCTCTGTGTTGTTTTTCAGTTTATTAAACACTGTACATGTTATTGTCTTCTTTATTTTTTCAGTTAGGGGGATTGAGTTTTTCTCTTTGCTAACTTTTATAGTTTTATCTTATAAAATATAAAAGAAAAATAAAATAGAAAGGAAAGCCAGGTATGATTAGAAAGTATACTAGGCTATGCTGAACTTATGTTGCATGACATTAAGTTCTTTTATGTAGTTCTTTGTTGCAGAATCTGCTTAGTATTGGAGATTCTGTTTCTAATGTAATATGGTAGACTTAATGAAAATGCTGTTAGATGCAGCACAATCTGTGGTCTTATATGTATTAATCAATTGAACTTATTGGGCTGTCCATACTTCTCAATTAGAAACTTGATCGTGACATGTTTGGAAAATTTTACTTCAAAGAGTCTAAGATGATGACACAATAGAAAATTCCTAGCATCATTCAATTATGTTGAGCTTTTTTTTTGAGTGGTCCAATTATGTTGAGCTTTTACTAGAGGGCAACTATCAATTAGAAACTTGTTGGATGGAATTTTAACTTGCCAATTGGTGCATATGCAAGTTTGTCATATTACTAGCAATATGCCAAATTTAAGTAATAATCATATATTATCTTTCCCAAACTTCTTGGCAGTGCTGCAGAGATTATTTGGTCGCATCATATAATTTTTCTTTGATAAATACACATCATATAATTTTTTCCCTATATCTATTAATTGCTAGCTTTCAACAAGAATATGATTCATGTTATATGGTTAGTTTAAAATGATTGGAGGTTTATTTTATTCCTTTGTATAAGTATTTTATGCCTTCTTGGAGTCCTTTCTGATATGTTATTGATTTATGTTGAACAAGTGTAGTACCAAGAACACACATTGATGATGAGTACGCAAATGCATCACAAACTGATCCTAAAATTTTGATAACCACATCTCGTAATCCGAGTGCCCCTCTTACGCAGTTTGTGAAGGTTGGTCTGATCTTTCTTTTCATTGGCTTGGATTTTTTTCTTCTTTTTTTCTTTTTTGGTAAGTAATAGGAATACATTATTTGAGAAAATATAGGTTTGATGTTAGGTGGTGGACAAAAGATGACATGAACATGGTAGTTGACTGGTCCATAATATTCTGCCATTGGACTCTCTTTTGCTGCATGGTTCATGGTGACCTTTCAGCCTCTTCTCAGGAGCCAAAATTTGATCTTAAATGATAAAGATAGGTGGCTGGTACAGATTCAAATAATGCCCCAAAGACCTAGCAAATCTCCCACTAGATTCTAATGACCACCCTCAGATCACCTCTAACTACAGAGATGTAATCATCCTAGATTATATTAATAAGGAAAAAGGTTGCTGGCATCTTTTTCCCCTAAGGCCCCTATGAAATCAGTGATCTTAATAAGATTTGATTGAGTGTAAACTCTAAAGGCCATTGCTGGAAATAAGAGAATTTTGTTAGTAGGCACTTATAAAGATGATGGCACATGTTCCTTAATGTTTCTTTAACCACCCAAAAATCTTCATAAATTTTAATCAAGATCCTCTGAGATCATGTGCATTGCATATGTTTTATATTTTGTTTTGAACATTGATTTAATAAAAATTGTCTTTTTCAGGAACTTAAGTTTGTCTTTCCCAATGCCCAGAGAATGAATCGTGGTGGACAGGTAAGTCTTTTTGTTTTTTACCCTGTTCTTCCCTTGCATCTTTCAAAAAGGCTTGTTGATTATATGTCTTCTCTCATGATAATAAAGTTATTTGTTACCATTAGAAGGGTACCACAAATTTGAAGTATTAATAATGGGAAAATGTTTCTTTTCTTCCTATAACTTCATATGGGCATGCAGATTAGCTGACGCTATGGCTGGCTCCATAGCAAAGGAAGGTGTTAACAGGAACAACTTTGCACCCTGGGGGGGGGGTAGAGGGGATCAATAAGCTGTATATGTTTAATGCCTTCAATTTGTAATGGTTCTTCTAAAAGAATATGTAAGGGTTAGGTGGTAGTGACCAGCCTAAATTGAGGGGAATCGCCATTGTACATAGCATGTTTTTTAACTTTCATAACCAATAAAGTTGACAACAGTACCAATAAAAAATGCTACTTTCTTCACAGGCCTTTGTAAGGATCATATTGTTACAATATTGGGTAAATTTCTTAAAACTACCCTTATTGTTTAGCTAATTGACTAAGTATGCCCCTACTATTTGATTATTGTCTAGCGCTACCCCTACTCTTTCTGACAATTGTCAAAAACCTCCTTGCCATTAATGTCTGTTAATGGAGAGATGAAAAGGACTATTTTACCCATTATTTTCTAACTCCGATAAAGGCGAGAAAATTAAACCCCCGCAACCCAGCGTCGTTAACTCTGGGGAGGAAGTCTTCCTCTCCGGTTCTGCCCATCCCATCTTTTTCACTCAACAAATTCGAGGCAAACCCTAGCTTTGAATCCAACATTACTCTCTGCAAAACCTAGTCAGATCTGCAATACTCAGGCTCCAAAGTTTTCTTATCTCCAAAAACCAATGCTCATCTGATAATTTTCTGTGAATACTGTTCATCTTCTTAGCTCCAACAATCAAGAATCACCCAAATTACTGAAGAACTGTTCATCGTCTTCATCCTTAAGGCGGGAACACAGCGACGCTAGCCTCCATTTTTCCAATTCCTTCCCCCTCTTCTTTCATTCATCTTCTCCATTCATTCTTACCCTCTTTTCCTCCCTATCTTCTTTTCCTGCTTCTTCCCCATCCCAATACTCTGGTTACAGAAAGTAGCTTCCAGCGGTGATGTTTGCTCAGTTCCCAGTCAGATTTCGGTGGTTTGTTATTGTTTTCTGGATTACATCCTGATCTAAAGTGCTTCACCGGCTTCCTCTGTTGTTTTTGGCTCCTCAGATGCATCGTTAATCCTCTGTTCTTCGCCAGCGTGGCAGAGGAGTTAGTAGCAGCAGTGATCCAGGTTTCTGTTCCTCTAGTGATACTGAGTAGCATTCTTGACTATAGATCAATCCCTCTTCATCGTCTTTGGTCATTTTTTGGTGGAAGTCTCTCTCTAAAGACAAGCAATCGAAACAGAGCCAACTGAATCTATCTCTTTTGCAGCATTGACAAAGTTCATGCCGAAACTTAATTAGGAAGGTTCCGTTCACTGTATTTTCCTCCGGTTTGTCTCCTCTCACCTTGTGTCCCTCCCTTGATTTTTCTCAATGGAATGATGGGTGCTCGGGGACGTTACCAGAGCTGGTGATGAGGTCATCACTGAACCAGTTCCTGCAGAGTCCTCAAATGGATGAAATGCACCTCCACTTTTCTTTGTCTCAAGACTCTCAATGAATGGCTTCAGGTTTGGTTTTTGTTTCATATCACCTTCGTTTTGTTTTTGACTTCTCCCTCTTATTTTCTCTCTGATTTGAAGAGAGAGGGAGGGAGGGAGGGAGGGAGAGGGATCTGCTGCTGCAACTCATTGCAGCAGAGAGAACGAAGGGGAAGAAGGAGAGGTAGGGAGGGGTTGGAGGTGGAGGGAGAGGGATGAGGGGTAAAATTGGGTTTTAAAAAATTTCTGTCACGTGGTGTCACATGTACATTCCTGGCTGTCAGCCAAGGACTCTTTTAAGCATTTCCCCCATCATCAGTATTTTGAGCTGGGTTTTTTGTTTACTTGATTTAGTTGGGGGTCTCTTGTATATTTCCGGAGAGACCAGTTTTTGTTGGCTTTTCTGTATAGTTTCTGGCTGTACATGGAGCTTTTGTGAACTATGAATGTTTACAGAGTTATACTCATTAATACAATTACCTTTTTCTCAAAAAAAAGTCAGGAACTGTAGGGGTAGCGTTAGACAATAATCAAACAGTAGGGGTATACTTAGCCAATTAGCTAAACCATAAGGATATTTTCTAGGTTGCTCTCACACCTTAGATCAATATGTTTTGGTATTTTACACATTGCCAGTTGTGCTCAAGTATAACTTTACTAGGTACTGAAGGGAAATTATGAATTTATGACACAGTTCCTGTTTTGCTCCTTTGTAGGTCATCTCAGAAATTATTGAGACTTGCCGTGCACATGATTTTACAGATGTTGTGTTGGTTCATGAGCATCGTGGAAAGCCAGATGGATTAATTATTTGTCATTTACCATTTGGTCCAACAGCATACTATGGATTACTCAATGTGGTATGTCTTTGAATATCTTCTCCTTAACTTTTTTTTTTTTTTTTCTGTACTTATTTTTCTCGTACCTGGTTGACATTAAGATTCTTCTTATATGCCATTCATCTGCAGGTAACAAGACATGACATCAAAGATAAGAAGTCCATGGGAACAATGTCTGAGGCTTACCCCCATTTAATTCTACACAACTTCTCTACAAAGGTATAGTTCGATATATATCCATCTCTTTGAGGGCAAGTTTTTGACTTTTTATCTTGACAGTTGTGAGTTATTCTAATTGGTTTGGTGTAGTACTAGATGTTGGTCTCTTAGGTTAACTAAAATCTTTGGGATGACTTGCCTGGGCTACTTCCCCAGAATGATTCTTTTTTTTTTTTTGATAAATGAATGCAATTTTATTAATCAAAGAAATAGTGTACAGTCAGCCTAGGAGGAGGCACGAGGTGTTACCTCTCCCTAGGACTGAACCATATGCAAATAAACACACACAAGACTGAATTACAATTTCAAGGTAGCCCAAAACAGGTCTCTCCTTGATATCCCTTGTTTAGCCAAAGAATTAGCCATTGCATTTGCCAATCTGCCAACCCACTGAACCCTAACTGTCATATTTCTTGTCAGCCAATTAACTTTCTTTAACAGATCCCTGTAACCCCAACAAATTGTTTCTGGATTTGTCAGCCAGCCCACTACTAACTTGGAGTCCCCCTCAACTATCAAGTTTTCCACTCCAAGTTGACTGGCCAGCTGTGCCTGTGTGCCTTGTACCACTGCCAGTATCTCAGCCCTTATAGAAACACCAACACCCACTGGTCCTGAAAATAAAGAAAGGATCTGCTGTCTTTATCTCTCAAAATCCCTCCTATGCTCGATGGCCCTGGGTTACCTTGACAGCTTTCATCAAAATTCAATTTTACCATTCCTTTCGGTGGGGGTTTCCAGTCTGCTTGTGGTCTGTTCTTTGTGGAGGCTGTGGATGCCATTGCTGCCCAATTTCTTCTTAAATAATCAACAGAGTAATCCACCAAGTCTGAAGATTTCAGCCAAGAGGTTATCCTTGTCATTATACACACTCCTTGACTTCAGCAAGACTTCTTTCATTTTCTTGAAAATTTCTAGCATTTCTCTCCTCCCACGTCCACAAGCTAGCAGCTCCAATTCACTTCCACGTTAGCTTCCCTCTCTTTGTCAATCTCCCAAAGGTAGACGGAGTAAACCAGTGTTTTAAAAGCGCAAGGGCCAATTTGCGCCTGAGGCGCAAGGCGAGGTGCGTGCCTTTTTAAGAAAGGTGCAAAATTACAAAAAAAGCTAAAAAATAAAAAAGTCAGAAAATTCAAAAAATTGCCAAAAAATTTTAAAAAATTGCAAAAAATATTAAACATAATGTTAATAAAAAATATAAACTTAAGTTTTTAAAATAAATGATTTAAAAAACCTATTATCTAAAATTAAAATACATAACATAACATGTAAAGTGTATTCAAATGAAAATTTAAAAATAAAAGCCAACATATAAAGCATTTTCAAGCATGTAAAACCCACAATCTCTTTTTTTCCTTAATTACATTGCTTCAAGTAGTTAATGTGATGTAAAACATATTGCATCCTTGAGGCAAGCCCGAACAAGTCTATGTTAGGGTCTGAAATTCTTATTTCTCACATAAAAAATAATGATTTTATAACTTTCATTGCCTTTTAAAAAGATATTTTATTGCAATGAATGAATGAACAACATTAGCAAATAGGGGGTTCTCGGAGTTGAGGCGCACACCTTGGCTGAGGCGCATCAGGTGCACCAGGCGCGCGCCTTTTGAAAGGGGTGCGCCTAGGACCTAGGCGAGGCGCATACCCCAAAATGCGCCTTGCCTATGTGCCTAGGCACGCCTTTTAAATCACTGGAGTAAACAATAACTTTACTTTAAAGGGCAAGTTCCACCTGCACCCAAATAATCATAGTTGTCAACTATATCTCAAAATTGGAAATTACAACACAACCCTAAAAAGAGAATCCCTAAAAGCTGCTTGTTTTGCTAAGAACTCTGCCATTGCTTTAGCCGACCTGCTTACCCATTGTATCCTAGTTGTCACATGCCTTATTAGCCACTTGACTTCCTTTAGTAGGTCGCCATAGTGCCAAGTAACAGAATCCATATCCGACATCCACCCCACCACCACATTAGAATTGCCCTCTACAATTGGACTGTTTATACCAAGTTGATTTGCAATCTGAATTCCTTGTACGACAACTAGCAACTCAGCCCTAGTAGAATCTCCTTTACCTATTGGCCTTGAAAACAATGACAAGATAAAGCCTTCTTCATTTCCTAGAACCCCACCTACTCTTGACAAACCAGGATTACCCTGACTGCTCCCATCAAAATTCAACTTTATAATCCCTTCCCATGGTGGAGTCTAATCTACAAAGGACTTGTTTCTTCTAGTACAACTATTGGGCACTACCAACCAATTCCTCCTTAGGTCATTGAAAGTAATAAATTGAAAGGACTTCAGGGTTTTCAGCCAATGTATTACCCTTATTAGAATGCCCTCCTTTAGTTTTGATAAACTTCTTTCATTCTTTTGGAAAATTCTGGTATTCCTCTCTTCACAAATTGCCCATAAAGTAGCTGCTCTAATACTCTTCTGCATGATTCTCCCCCCTTTTGTGGGCTAGACAAAAGTGGCCGGATCATTTAGTAAACTAATTTCTGTTCGCAAATTCCTTCTGCACCCAAATGAAGCAAAAATCCAACTTCAAATAACTACAACAACCAGGTAGGAAATTAATAGATGGTAATAGACCTTACCATTAGCTTTGCAAAGAAGATACTTGTTAGGGGACAAACACAAGAAATGTTGCCTCTTTTGCAGGTTTTTCAAAGCATTAATCTTTCCATAAAAAAATTTCCCAACAAAAAACCCAATTCCAAATATTGGCAGCAAAAGAGCAAGATATCAGCAAATGGTTACAATCCTCATCCTTTACTTTACACATAAAGTACCAATTTGGGGACAGGCACATATAAGGGGTGGAACATAAAACTTTGGGGACAGCACACATAAAACTTTTGCAAGTTTTCCACGGTATTGATCTTACCATAATAGGCTTCCCAATAGAACACAACTATTTTAGGAGGTATTGGCATTGACCAGACTTCTCTAAGAAGGAAGACCTGAGAGGAAGGGGTGGAACAGAGGGATTTAAAGAAAGATGCACAAGTTAAAGAGCCAACTAGGGTTAGAGACCAAATCCTTTTATCAGGTCTAGGGGGGTCCAAACACACAGCCTGGAAGCAACAAGAGCTCTGAAACATAAGCAAATTCATCATCCCTTAAACCTCTTTGAAACCCAAAATCCCAGTTTAAAGCCAAAGGGAGAACCGAGGGGAAGGAACCTTGAAATCGGTTTCTTTTTAAAGAGGGAGATAGAATAGAGGGAAGGGAAACAATCTTTTAGGGGTTGAGTGCCAACCCAAATGTCTTCCCAAAAAAAGAACTGGCTTTCTAGAACAAGCATCATACCTTACAAACCTGAGGAATTTGGGGAGAATGCCAAAAATTGCTTTCCAGGGTGTTGTGAGCAAAGCCCTTTGAGATACCTCCACATCCCAACCTAATTCAGAACAGCCATGGATACTCTTCACCACTTCATGCCATAACCTCTCTCTCTCTCTCTCTCCAGGGGGCACCTCCAAAGCCACTTACCTAAAAGAGCTTCATTCATACTCACTACATTCCATAACCCTAGACCTCTTTTTTTCCTTTGACTCACCACCTCCCTCCTAATCAGGTAATCTTTTTTCTCTTCCCTAGTCTTCCATAAGAAGTCCCTCATCAATTCTTCCAACCTCTTTGCCTCTTTTTTAGGAACTCTAAACACTGGCAGGAAGTATATTGGCAAGTTGGCTAGAGTTGCCTTGATCAAAGTTACTGTACCCCTGAAGGATATATAGTTTCTCTTCCGGGCTGCCAATCATTTTTCAAAATTTTCCACCACAGGGTTCCAAAACCTACTTTCTTTGGATTAACACCTAGGGGAAGCCCTAAGTAGGATAAAGGCCACGATGACCAAGTGCATTCCAAACAGGCTGCTATAGACTCCATCTCCCCTCTGTTCAGAGGTGGTGTCTCCTCTGTCTCGTATCCTTCAGTGAGAAAATGGTTTGAAGGTTGGGGAGGCATGCCTTAACAAGAGTCATTAAATGGAGCCCCGTCTCAATATTCTTTTGATAAGGAGTCAGCTTCAGTTTTGGCCATTTCCAAATTTCTATTTCAATCAAAGCTTTGAGGAGTTCTATACATGTAAATCTGTCTAGAACAACAGAATTGAATGAATGAATTTTTTGTTCTCTACCATCATTCTTTTTCTCTTGAAATCAGTTTTGGAGAAGCATGTGCTTTCTTCTTGTCTTTGTCTTCTAGTGGTTCTTTGCTACTAGAAGAAAACCAGCAACTATTCTCTGGATTTTCTCTTGGATTTTGTGTACTGTTGGATTTTGGAGCACTCATCAACCTTGCCCATCCACAAGCCCCTACATTATACCCCTCCTAACAAGGAAAGAAGGATGGGCTCTCTATTGAAATATATCTTGACCTTATGGCCTTGTTGAATGTGCCTCTCTTAGTAACTGCTCCTCTCTCTCTCTCTCTCTCTCTCTCCCCATTAACCTGTTTTAAGCCTGTACCTCTTATTGCCTTCCTATCACTATTTGCTCACAGCTGCAAGAAAGGCTGCTGAGTTCAGCAGTGGTCCTACCTACCTCATGTCTCACAGGCTAACCTAGTTAATGTGCCAGGTCCAGACAAAGCCAAAATGGATTTAAAAGGAAAAGCTTGCAATAAAAGGTTTGATTGATAAAGATATTTAAACAAGAAAGCACAAGAGAAAAAGACATCTTGAGTTACAATCCCAAAATCTGCAGTCCATCCATGCTATCTTTTTCTGTCCTGTATCAGCATAATATTGTTTTATATAACCTCTTTATTCTATTTGAGTGCAGAACATGGCTATGGGTTTATTAATTATTGAATTGTCTTCTGTTTCATTTAGTTGTTTCTACACAATGCTTTTACTGGTTGAAGTTCTCAACTATCTATGATACTGCAGAAGCATGTGAGATTTGCATAGTATGAATGTCTACTATATATGCATTTTTTGGTTAATTACATTATATTTCATGTATTTTTCCAACACATTTTTCTTTAATCATGTTTTAGAAAATAATTTTCTTTGACTAGTTACAATCTGTGGATGTTTGTTCTGGATATGTTAATCAATTGTTGCTAAGTAAAAGAGAGCTAACATTCTTAAGCATCTGTTCCCAGTAGGCCAGTACTGAAGCTAGATCAATTACATAACCTGCATTCTAATTCTGGGTATATTGATTAATGATAGCTAGGGGAAAGGACAGCAAATATTCTGAAATATCTGTTTCCAGTACCCAAGCCAGATTCAAAACGCATCATCACTTTTGCCAACCAGTCTGATTATATCTCATTTAGGTAAGTTGCTTTATGCATATTATATACCTTATTCAACTGATGAGTCTTATACTCTTATTCTTGTTTGTAACTCTTATTCTTGTTTGTAATTTGTTTAGTGCTTTAAGAATTCATTCCTCAGTTTTCAATGACCATCTGGATATATTTGTTTCTGCCTCTATTGAGAAACATACATGTTCCATATGTGGTGACATTACAGAAATCACATCTATATTTGTTGTTAGGTGCACTGTTTTAAAAGGCATGCCTTGGGGTATTATGCTTAGGCACACAGGTGAGGCACATTTCAAGGTATGTGCCTAACCTTGGTCCAGGCACTTCCCCTTTGAAAAGGAGCATGCTTGATGTGCCTTCTGCCTGAGCCCAGGCATGTGCCTCAGCCCAATTTTGTGTTTTTTCAAGCATAGTGGCTGGGCAGGGGCTCTGACAACCCCTTTCTAAAATCATATTTCAAGACATGAACTTATTTGGTCTGGCTCAACTAAAATTACAAAACCAATCTATTTATAAGTTTGTATATGGACAGGGAATTTAGGACCGTCTCATGAACTTGTTTGGGCTTGAAGTTATGCGATTTGGAGAGAACTAAACAGATTGAAGGCAGTGTTTTAAAAGGTGTGGGAGGCATATGCATGGAGGCATGCCTCCAGGTGAGGTGCCCTCAAAATGCCCGAAGGCCTATGCCAGAGGTGTTGATGCCGGCATATGCCTCATGCACCTTATACAAAAAGACTACGAGAAAGAAAAAAGAAAATAAAGGAAAGAAAAGGATAGGGAAAAAAAGAGAAAGGAAGAAAAGAAGAGGGAAGGGAAGGAAAGAGAAACAAGATGAGATCCTCCTTCCTATTCTTTTTTCAGCTAGTGTTATGCATCTTCATTCTTCTTAAAAAAGAAATCTTTAAATGTTTCTGTTGAAGTTTATAAGTTTGGTCCACATTGTTAAAATAAATAAATAATTATTAGTTATTTTGTTAGAAATTTCCAAGGAAAAAGAAATACGGCAAAAATTATGGCTGAAAATGCAATGTCAGCCATGATGTCTGGTTCTTATGGAGTTGTTATTTTTTCTTTAATTTTCTGAAATTCTCTAATTGACTGTCATAAGTGCAATAGTAAAAACTTATCTGGTTGTAGTGAGCCCCTAATTTTGACATGGGATTTGGTTAAGGCTGGTCTCAGGAAAAGAAATGCAAGTATCTGGTTCAGTACATGTAATGATGTAAATATCACAAATTACTCATCTTAGCCATTCTACTTGTTTCCTTCTGATTTCTGTTTATGATAGGAAAATAGTTATTGAGGAACTCTCTCTCTCGCTCTCTCGCTTGCTCTCTCTCAAGCAGTAAACATGTCTTCTAGATTCATTGTAGCCGTAAAGTTTTATGGCATTTCCTTGACATGTCTTCTTAGATGCAAAGCAGCTGTATGCTATTTTGATTTCTGGTGTTACTACTTTGTTGAAAATACAGGCATCATGTGTATGAGAAGCATGGTAAATCTATTGAACTCAAGGAAGTGGGTCCTCGTTTTGAATTGCGTCTTTATCAGGTGATTAGCTTTTATCCTTTTCTTTTTTCTTTCCCTTTTGGTTTACCTGAAGGACACACTAATCGTTTTTTGGATTGGTAAAAGACATAAGTCATATATGCAATGCATGCGTATATGTATGTATGTATCAAAGGTTGGTTTGGGGTTGATCCAAGCTGGTATCATGACTTGGTGATGGTTCGAACAGTCTGACCGGCCTGGTTAACAATGGGTTGAAAACACTGATTGATACTTGCAGATGTTTGTGATAGTTATCAGTAATGTGCAGAGATAAGATGGTTGCTTTTTTTGTATATTTATCTATTTATCTTCATTAATTTCATGCTTATTTGTGGATGTGAAGTTGCCAACTCTTGGATTAGTCTTGCTAATAATTTTTTATTTTTTATTAGTAATACCTAGAGATAAGATGGGATGCCAAATTACCAATTGGAATTCCAAACTTAAATATCTATACACCGAACACTTGGAAGTGGAATTTGGAGCTTCAATTTGGAACTGGGACCAAATCCAATTAGAACTCCACCTGAAACCCATGAAACAAGTGCAACCTCAAGTCTTTTTCTTTTCCTCTCTACTTTTGAGTTAATTATCGAAAACAAGGTTATTGGAATGCCATACGTGGAGACAGCTTGGTCATAATTGTTCGTGATTCATATACAACAATTTATCGTGGATGCAATTATTTTTTCTTCGTATACAAAATTGTAAAAGTTCTATGCATGTTGTACATAAAATTCATATATTTTCTCTCGCATATGTTCTAGTGAATAGAAAATGCCACCAAGTGCGCAATGATTTAGCTTATGCTGCCCATAAGGTGATCAGATGAATGCTTTTATTTGTTTAAGCACGGTAAACAAGTTTTGATATCTTTCTCTTCTTCATGCCACTCATCATGTAGAACTAAATTCAGGCCATTTTGCATATGTTGTCTTTTACTTTTTCACCCTCTTGCTTCTTGTATGTCAGATTAAATTAGGAACAGTTGACCAGAGTGAAGCCCAGAATGAGTGGGTCATCAGACCGTACATGAACACAGCCAAGAAACAGAAGATTCTTGGAGATTAACCCAGTCTCAACGTTCAATTTTATGGTTTTGATAGTGATCATCCTTCGGCTAATGTATTTATGGTGATATTGCCTACTGAATTTATTTTTTATTTTTTGGTTTAATATTCAACTTATTTAGATTTTTATAATTTTCTGTTGTAGTACATAAAGTTTTGGCAGTTCCAAATTCCAATACCCTTAAATTTGTGGGTCGGCATCGCCCTAACAGTGAGTGAGCCATAGATGATAGGTATCAAATTTGCAAGTTATGTATTTGATATTTTGATCCTTCTTTGATAAATGTCATGAGTTGGTCTCACAGTTGGGTCCTTCGCGTTTTATAAAAACATAAAATGATTCATCATGCAATGCCACACTTGCTCAAAGTAGTTTTGCCCGCCCGAACCGAAGATGAACTGCTGTTGTGTTATACATATTACAGTGGTCTATTCAACAAAGCCTTGTCCCGACTATGACACGCCTATGCTAATAGACTAATTCCATTTGCCATTGCTGTTTGTTAAGGTTAAAGTCCTGTCGAAGATGGTTGCCGTTTGTTTCAGAGTGGGCTTTAACTTTGATCCAGCAATGGGGTTTTACTGTAAATACTGGAGCTAGGTTTCACCCAGGGTAATAATGGCTGTGAGCTTTGTTGAAATTCAGTGGTTTATGCTGCCGTTACCACTAGACCCAAAATAAGATTCCTTTTTCTTTGATGTGGTCGGTATCTTTCCTTGATGGTTAAGACCTTAGCACTCACTTTAGCTGCCACACTTGTGGCTAGGAGTAGGGCTGTTCATAATAAGACCCAACCCGAATCGTTCGGGTTTTCTTCAGCACCGGTCGGTTCGGGTTATAAAAAATCATAAATCGATGGTTGGAGTCGGTTTTGGTTTTCATATGTGAAAATCGAAATCGATCCGAATCGAACCGACTTAATAGTTAGTAGTTAGTTCTTAGTTAGTATTTACAACGTATCTAGTTTCTACTTAACTAAGTTGTCTCTATCCTAATTACAATTACAACCTAGCTTAATTTCTAGTCTTCTAGTTAGGAATGACATTAATGGCATGTATTGTAAGACAATTAAACTAGGAATTTTTTAGGAAAAGTTTAAAGAAAAGAATCAAAGGATCATAGTTTTTATGGTCTTTTATATCAAATAGGCAACTAATTACAATTAGAATTAGGTGTCATTTTTACTTAGATTAGAAGGTTTCTTGAAATATACAAATTTCAGTCTTCTTTCTCTAATACAGTTTGACTTTCTATTTTCTTGATAACTTCTATTCTAACTTGGTCCGCCCCCTACCAATTTCAGTCTTCTTTCTCTAATAGAATTAGGTGTTATTTTTTACATCAAATTTCAGTTTTCTTTCTCCAATCTACCAATTTATTGCCATGGTTGAACTTAGAGCCAAAACCGACCCAAATCGACCCAACCTAACTCAAACCGATCAAGTCGATTTTGTTTAACATAGGGTCGGTTTCGGTTTCAATTTCAATTTCAAGTAACCCGACCAAATCGGATTGGTTGAAAAAATCTCAATAAACCGACCCAACCCGAACCGTGAACAATCCCAACAATGAATTTGTATTGATCAAGATTCTCTTGTGAACAGTTGTGAATCAAATTCTTTCCGGTTTAGTTTTTAGGTTTTGAATTGATGATGCGTCAAGCAGAATCAGAAGTTGTTACCAAACTTTAGGCCCAATGCAAATGGCACTACAGGTTTCAAATTTCCTTCCTTATCTTCAACTTGAGGCTCTAAGTTCCAATCCAACTTATTCATAAGATTGGGTTGGCGTTGGCTAGAGAGAGAGAGAGAGAGAGAGAGGATATACAATTCCAAGTTTCATACACATGATTTTCAAACCATAACCTCGCACGTCTGCATTGACCAATCCAATTGTATAGGCAAAAGCCTATTAACTCATCACGTCCTCTACGGCTGTTAATGGGTGGGGCAAACCTGATAGAATCGAACCGATCCGATTGTGTAGGGTCTGGACTCTGGATACCTTTCTCATGGGCGATGGCATACTTACAATATCTTCCTTTTAATTTTACAAATGAAAGGATTCATTTCAAATTACATGTTAAAACTTAAAAAAAGTATAGCTGTCAACCATAAGCGGGTCTTATCAGGTCAGACCTGACAGTCCCAATTATTAATTGGGTCCATTCCAGGTGTGGTTAAGTTGGTTCGGAACTGGTTCTACAAGCTTCTTTTTCTTGGCCAGGCTCGGTGAGCCCTGTCGTGAACCTTTTTTTTTCCCCCTCTTTCCCGTACAATCACCATTTACGTACCCATAAATTTTCTGCAATGACACATTTAGTACTTATTTTTGAAAACAAATCACCATTAATGGACCTTCTTGTATATTGAAGTTGTCAGCAAGGTCCATTAAGTTGAAAGACATTTAATTATTTATCATACTTCTCAACTCAATCAAATACACCCCATAAATAAATTGCATAGGCAGAGGGATGTAGAGCCACACTGATCCTCCCAACCTTCAATTTTCATTTGGTAGCAGCAGGGAAGTTGTGACAACTGACAATCCCAACTTTTTATGGGTAAAATAAAACAAGAGAAAATTTACAGGATACAAGATTTATAAAAAACAAAAAATTATCTCTACTGTTTAGCTTAATACCTAGTACGTTTAAGTTTTGTCACAATTGACTACCTCTACTCCTCTCGTTAATATTCATTAATTTTTTTTTATCGAAATTCATGTACACGTCACATGTGACACGTAGTACGTGATGTATAATTTTTTTTTTTTTTAAACTCAATTTTACTCTTCGTCCCTCTTTCCTCTTCTTTACTATTCCTCTCGCCGGTAGTAGTTACAGTGAACCACTCTATAACCATTCCACTCTCTGTTTTTCCGTCGCCATCACCACCACCATCGTCGTCCGTACCTAACCACTTTCAAAATAAAACAGAGAAAAAGAGAAGAGATGATGATTCATCAAAACCCTAACCTTTCAAACCCAGAAGTTCCACAGCTCTGTGGTGAAGACAATGCAGAGAAGCAAAAACAGAGGAACCATTGAAATGGAGGTAGAAATGTTCTTTTCCGCTAGAACTTCCCTTGAGTCCAAAAGGGTGTAAGAAGCAAAGCGGAAATAATGTTCGGCAAGCCCAGATCTAAACAGCAAGCCTAGATCCCAGAAGGAACCCAGATATGAGTATCTCTCAAATTCGGCAAGCCCAGATCTGAGATCTAAGAAATACTCATATCTGAGTTCCGGTTGTCATCCGCCGTTTTGATGTAGGTACTCAGATCCGGTTGTCATCCAGTGAGGAAGTTGCTACCGCTGCTGGTTCGAGTTGCAGCGGCGGTGGCGGAACAAGGGAGAAAGAAAAAGAAAAAGAAGAGGAAGAAGGAGGGAGAAAGGAAGTTGCTACCGACGCTGGTTCGAGTTGTAGCGGCGGTGGCAAAACAGGGGAGAAAGAAAAAGAAGAGGAAGTTGCTACCGCCACTGCAACTTGAACCAGCGGCGGTGGCGTATCCCCGATACCCATACTGGAGAGGAGTCTGAAGCATACATCCGATATCAGGCCTCCACGGCTTTGATCATGTTCCTCGCAAATGGCACCACTTCCATTAAGATGAATAGCTCTGCCATAAATGCCCGATGCGAGTTCTGGTTCTTTAGTATTTCTGCGATGCCCTCGAGCTATGATCGCCCTTTCCAGTCCGGTCTAGGTGGAGCTCCGCCGCCTGTGTTTAGATCTGCCACTGCAAGTGACGGCGATTGAAATAGGGGAGGTATATAAATGGTGGCACAACTCCTCCCCGTTTTTGTGATGCATTCATCATTTACAGTCTGTGCAGTTGTTCTTCTCTCATGTCTGTGCATGAATTCGGTATTGCGTCCCATAGATGTCACCACAGCCAGCGCTGCCGTTGCCGTTGCCGGTACCGGCACCGATCTCGGTGGAAATGAAACAGACCTGCTGGCCTTTGCTTGCCTTCGATTGCCTTGCCTGACGGTGAAACTGGAAACCTCAAGCCTCTGGGGAAGAATTGGCTTCCCATTCCTTGATATTTTGCACCATTGAAGAGGAAGAAGAGTCCCAATTTCCCCTGAGACCTTGCTCCATTGAAGAGGCATTTGGTTTCCTTCCGTTAGCAGTGCTAACCGCAATAACTAAACAGTAAACAGTAAGGATAGTTAAGAGATTTACCCAAAAAAAATGTATTTTGTTTTATGAGAATCTCAATTATTTTTTTTTTTGTCTGATAAGAAAAGATGAATTTAACAGAATAAAAAAGAATATATTAGATTGTATTTTGCACACCAACCATTGTGAATAAAATCAGGAGAGAGAGCTTTTGAGACAGAGGGCTTCAATGACATTCTTGGCGTCAGACAAAGCAACAACAGATTCCCTTCCTTGAGTCTTAGCAAAGCAAAGGAGACAGCAGCAAAAACAACCCCAACTTTGAGCCATACATGATACATTCTTATATGTTGTCAGATATGTTTGCTGTTCACTTCCCTTTTTAGTGCAAATTAATTTCAATTGGAAGAATTTTTATTTTTAACATAGGAAATTGTCAACTTGAAATGAGCTCTAGCCACCGGTTTTTGTTTGTCTTGTGATTCTGGCTCTAATGGAAAGGTCTCTCTCACCTTAGAGATCTCCTATACCATAAAATTAGCATCATCAGATCATTTCCAACCAGTTGATCTTTAAAGAACCTTTTCCATGCATCCTCATCAACAATCTTTCATTATCAGTTCAGTGCGAGGCTCAAGAGGAGAGAAGACACCTGGGTTGTTAGTAAAATGAGTTTGCACATGGCTAATAATCTATTCTGGATCATCATGAGCATAAGCTATAGGGGCAATTAGGGTTTGGGGAATGTCTTCCACTTGATATGTACAAAATAAAACCGTTATGGTAAAATAAACCCAAGATCTAAAAACGATTGATAAAAGAACAGAGAACAGAGGAAAGAATAAGTGGAAAACTTAAAATAGAGAAATCCAAGAAAAACATACATGGGTTTACATGGTTCAGAGTTTATAGCCTACATTCACTAAGAAATCTGTAATGAAAAATACAAAATTGTACAATCTCTCTCTCTCTCTCTCTCTCTTGAAAACCCTAAACCCCAGTACATCACACTATCAAACACAATACTTATTCCATGCCTTCTTTTGCAAGTCAAAGAGATACGTAAAAGAGAAAAGCTCCACCAATATAGTGGGTCAGACCCAAAATAAACCACCATGAAATGATACGATACCTTTGGATTTTTCTCCAATAATACAGGGTAGGAGGACATGTAATGAGGCACAACAAAGAACTCAAGACACAACTCAACAAGAGCGGTACAAAAACCCAAAAGCGGAGTTACCCTCTTGCTACAAAGCTATAGTTACATAGAGAATCAGACAAATTGGAGTTTTTTGCTGAATTTATTAAGTGCAGCTGATTCATAACAGGTATATCGATACATCTTTGGTTGTTTATCGACACTTAGATTTCCATGATTAAATAAATAAATAAATAAATATCCTTCATTGAGCCCCTTGTTTTTATTCTTCCTTGCTTTGATTCTGACGTTTGTGCGTTCGAGACTGACTCATTACTGATTATTCTATTCTCACGGCGAGAAGATGAAAAAGAGTTGTTGTGGAATGCATGTGATGTAGAGCAGAGAAGAGGTGCCCAAATGGATGATACTCTTTGCTTCTCTCTCCATGACTCCATGGTTTGTTCATGGGTTGAACTTCAGCCCCTAACACCCCAAAATAATTCCTTTTCCGGGGAACATTTATCTTAGGAAAACAGTATTAATGTTGCAAAAAGCTCGACCTAACTTTCAACCCCTGAAAAAGTTATTTTCTTGACTTACATTATTCAACAGCCTGATACGTATGTTTGGTCAATTATTCGAGCCCTGCCGTCAACCATTTCTGTGGCTCCTTTGACGATTCCCGGACCAAAGTTCTGACTGTTTGAAGTTTTCACTTTTTCTTATGCTTTCAAATTTGAATTCTTTCCATAAACTGTTCTGAGAACCCATTGTATAACTATAGAGAGAATAAACGGGTATAGAAATGGAAAGAATTCTAAGGGGGATTACTACTCGTTTTAGAATCTTATATCATCTATATCTCACTCACTCTACATCACTTTAGTAAAGGTCTTTTGAAAATTAATGAAAAATAAAAAAGTGTTTGAAAAAAATCCAAAATTTTGAGCTTAAGCAAAGCGGGCTTTTCTTTTTCTTTTTCTTTTTTGATATATGAACTTATTTTTCAAATGCATATAAGTAATTATTGGTGTAACGTAATCCCGGAATAAAATAAAACCTTTTTCTATTAGGTGCTTAAAAATAAACACTCCCAAACAGGGGCTTAATAGAATTTGAATAGATTAATTAATTATAGGATTTTTTAGACTGCACTCCACCTCAGAATTCTGATTTATCCGGCATGGTTTGGGGCCACAGACTATTGATGGGGCTCAGGCTTTTGACAGACCATGGTAAGCAAAGTCCAATGTTGGGCTTTGTCTCATCTTGGTTCAGTTCATTCAACTCCACTTTTAATATTAAGTCATTCAAGTCCAATACTTGTACATATTTAGAGACAATTAAAAGCCCACATAGAACACACAAAGGTACACAAACAAGACGTATTTAAAAGAAGATGGGCCCACCCAAACTCGGTTTGGGCTAAAATAGCTAGACATGCGCAGAACTGTGCCTGGGCTTTTCTTGCACGCCTGAAATTGAATCCATTTTAACTTGTTTGTGACCTTACCACCTAAAATAGTTGAGTTTGGCTTGCCATTAAGCAATAGTCCAAGATTAAATTATAAAGCTTACAACTTTTTTACTTATTACCTTTTTGGTTAATCAATTCTGCTTCCACTTTCTCTTTACAAGGTTTCATTTTATTTTTCCCTAGATGATATACATATCACAATGCAAATGGAAAAAAAAAAAAAAAAAATTGAACATAAAGCACATAGGCTAACTCCATTAAGACCCGTTTGTGAGTGCTTACTTTTAAGCTGTTATTGGAAAAAGGGCTTATTTTAGGTTGGAACCACATCAATAAACACTTATATATGCATTTGGGAAATAAAGTCTGAATAAGCTCTTTTTCAGGAAATAAGCCTGTTTTGAATAAGCTAAAAAATTTGTTACTTTTTTTTTCAAGTGTTTTTTGAAGAAACATTTATTGCGTTTTTGGCCCATTTTGGCCCACCACATAATTTTCAAAATACCTATACTATCATCCCGTTCGACAGAAGTACTTTTTCACCCAATACTCATAAGTGTTTATTAGGATAAGCACTTATTTACCCAATAAGCATTCCCAAATGACCACTAACAACTGAAATCAGATCCACGCTTACAGCTCTCGTCTGAAGTCTGATCCCCATTACCAATGGCATATTAAGAAATAAGAATACAATGAGCTGCAGAGTTCAAGTGCAGAACTATGGATTAGGGGAAGCATTGAATGGTTCTTTATCAGGCGATGAGGTGCTTGATTCGCCATGGTGGATCTGACAATAAAACCCCCAACAGATGTTTTGCAATCTGTGATACATCTCTTAATCTCCTTCAATAAAGCCATGTTTGGTTTGAAGGAAAAGGTAGGGAAAGACAGGAAAATCAATATAAGATTTGTAAAGGTTTTCCTGCCTTTCCCTTCTTTTCCCTACATTTTCCTTCAAACCAAACATAGCATAATAGTCTTGGATAACTCAATTTCAGCACCCAGTTTTCAGTTCATTCAAGTATGCGAAGACCTCCTCTTTGATAGCTGAACATGGTTTGATTGTCGTGGCTTGGCTGCTATCAGTTTTTCCATTCGAATCCTGACCTGAATGATAACCCCTGTAGCCGCACTTTCCCTTTCAACAAAGCATTCAACTGTCATTCAGAATAAAGATAATTCTTGAATGTATAAATTGGGAGTTTTCAAAGAAATTCTTTTCAAAAGAGATGGTTCTAAATCTTAATGTACATATAATAGAAAACTTTTTTTTTTTAATTGCTTCTCTCTCTCTCTCTCCACCCATCCCCCAAATGGGCTACCAGCTAGAGACATTACCAGCAAGCCCCACAATTCATATCAAACTTCTAAGTTCTATCATGGAACCAACTCTTACACTTCCAGAATCTTTGCAGTTAGTTAATTGAATTCCTTGCGTTCAATGCATGCAGTTGTCTTTACTATATTATTGGGTTTTGATTTGTTACTTTTTTATTCTCAATGTACTTTTCTCTTCTTTTCCTATGTGAAATGCTAGAGCGAAACCAAGTCCTATATGAAAAGTTCTCTTATACTCTGCCTTGCCATGAGCCCTAAACTGTCTATAGCAGGCTTTTGCAGTGGATCCTTACACTGATTAATTCCAAAGATAATCTCCACCATAAATAATTTTACTATTTTCCTTTTTGATAAATATTTTAATTGTTTTGCTTTATTTCCTCTTAAAATGCATTTTAATCATTCACTAATAAAAATTTGTTTCAAATTCAAATAAATGCAATTATTATGATGATGTTAATGGTGATGTTTTGTTGCAGAAGTTTAGGTATGTTTGGTTCAATTCTCATTCTTTCTCATTTTTATCCAAGATGAAATCCTAAAATGAACAAGAATTGATAAAAATAGGCAAAATGAGAAAATATTGCTATGAATCAAACATTTTTTTTAAATGAATTCTTTTCAAACTGACAAGTGTCCTATGTTGCTCATTTTCATTCTTCAAAAAAAAAAAAAAAACTGTGCCAGTATTCATAAACCGCCAACCTAGGTCTCCAAAATTGTCGGCATAAATGTTTTGTAAAAGTGCTTTCATAAAAAGTTTTTTTTTTAAAAGTGCTTTTGTAAAAAGTATTTTCATAAAAGTGCTTTCGTAAAAAATATTTCTGTAAAAATTCTTTTATAAAAGTACTTTGGTAAAAGTACTTTCACAAAAATGTTTTTATTAAAGTGTTTTTATAAAATTTCTTTGTTAAAGTGCTTTCATAAATGTGCTTTAATGTAAAAGCGCTTTCATAAAAGTACTCTTCTAAATATGCTTTTGTAAAAGTGCTTTCGTAGTAGACAAAGTTCCCTCAAAAAATAAAAATGAGCAAAGATGAGATATGATTATTTTTCATGCTGTAGCTAGGCTACTCAATTTTTATGATGTTTCATTCTAAAAAGAATATGATTCATGACAAGAATTTTGTAATCAAACATTGTAATTCATTTTTTTCCATTATTTCTTAGAATAAACAAGAATTAAAAAAAGGCCGAAAACAGTGAACCAAACATGACGTTATCTGTTAGTGAATGGAAATTAAATAAATACACTCTTGCTCTATGTTTTTGCAGGATTCCATTAAAGTGAACCAAAGCACCCTCCAATTCTCAATTTGAGGGTTTAAAAGAATAAAAAAGATATTCAATATGGATGTATGTGTAGCACAACGAGAGGACATGTCTATTCCTACACATGCTAGTAGTGTTAGCACTCACATAAGGAAGGAACTCTTTCGGTCTTTATCCAAACCACACAGAATGGAAATCACTTCACGTGTACAGGTGAGAGAGAGAAAGAGAGAG